AATACAACATAGCTAGAGAAAGAGAGCTGAAGTCCTACTTCCAATGCTACTAATTCTTCTAACTTGGTATGCAGACACATTTTTTATTTTAGGGTTACATGGGAGATTTTGCATCTCCCATGGACCAGACGTTAATTTAATTGTTTCAGGAAAGAACATCAAAAAATACTGTGAGAAAACTGAGGTTTATAGCTACATGATTTTGCAGGTAGCCATATTAAAAAAAAAAAAAAAAAAAAAAAAAAAAAAAAAAAACCACTATGAATACAGTGAATTTTTCATTTTTCATTTTCTTATTGAATTGCTAGATTTAACACATATTTACTAGCATTATAACTTGAAATTTTAGTTTTCTTCAGGACTCCTCTTGTGCCTTCTGGCTGCTCTTAACCTGCAGAACTCTAGCAGTTTATCAATATGGACTCTTATCCCTTAGCTGTTACATAGGATGTGATTTTAATTAACCATAAAGACTTGTGCTTCCCGCCAGAGCAATACAGTGTGTTTTCAGAAAACCAGAATGATGAGAAGGCCAAATAACCACTTCAAGGTTGTTTTTTTCTCCTCTCTCAACCCAAAGTTACTTCACAAAACTCATCACCAGTCTATATTCTGGAAGCTAAAGTATAAGCAAATTTAAAATAAATATGTTCATGAATTTAAGTGTAAATTAAACTGGCTGAAAGCTCAAACTAAAAAAATCCCTGAAGAGCTGACTGCTTATAGTCAAGGATATACCAGGGAAAGGATATGTACAATCATCCTTTACTTTTCTTTAATCATCTATTACCAGAGATTACACAGAGATAAATGGACTTCTGCTGTAATAATCCCTATGTCTTTATGTTACAGGAAAAAAAAGAAAAAAAAACTTATTTATAGCTTTGAATAATAATCAAAGTGTGTGGAAGAATCTTCTAAAATATTATGAGGATAAGCAACAGAAGAACAAGTTTAGCTTGTGAAATTACTAAAGTTGTAAAGGAGACATGCAAGGCAAGGCATTCAAGGGGAGTAAATTGTTTCAAGTCCTCTGAAACAAATTGGTACACACTGACTTTACACTGCTTGTGACCAAACAGTGATAAATATCGGTAACAATTGCAGGACAGGGTCTATGTTTCCTATAGGAAAAAAAAAAAAAAAAAAAAAAAAAAAAAAACTAGAAAATAGCTCATACACACATGAAAGTTTATAAAATGAGAAAAATAAATAGGTAAGGCATTATCTTTTTAGGGGATAGTTATCAATGAAAAGTATACAAAGATGTGTGGGATTCCTCACTTCTTGAGGACTTTATTAGTCAAAAATTGTGTTGTTGTGTTGGGAATTGACTCAGCAGCGTTTCAGCGGATCTAAAGAGCCCACATTTCATGGCTCCTTCCCTATGGCAGAGGCCAGATAAAGTCAGCAGGACACAGCATGTTTCCTGCATTATTGTTTCTGCTCTCGGTGATCAAAAAGCCAACTCCCACTGAAAAAGTGTGGTTCCTACACCTCTACTCAGTAGTTTATGCTCAGATTTGTGTGTGAATTAATCTAGCCCTTCAGCTCACTGGAGGGAAAAAAGGGGGGGCTTTTGTACTTGAGTCTCAAGAAGTTCTGGCCCCGCAGGTAACCAGTGAGATCAGAAGATTAGAGCTTTCCAGAGCAGAGCTCGACTGCATTTCATTCATACAGCCAACTCCTAAAGCTGATCAACAATATTCTGAAGAAAACAGCTGATTCAAGAGAACGAAGAGATTCCTCGAGACACATTCATTCTGCTGAAGGCCTCCTCAGCACGCAGGCGGCAAGCGCTCCCGGGGCCTACCAGCTGGCCAGCTCGCCTGGCTTCCACCCAGCTCGCTACCAGCCGGCCGGGCTGCTGGCCAGCCCCGGCTGCCAGCTGGGGAAGGAGCAGATTTGCAAAAACTGAAACAAATTGTTCTCTTTCGCCTCAAGTTCTGCAGTGTCGACATTCTGTTCCAGCACGGGATGAAACGAAATGTCAACAGCCCAGAATTTTCCACAAAACAGAAATGCCGTTTTCTGGCCAACTTTCGTCACGAGCTTTGTGCACGCTACTGTTGTTGCCTCTCCACAGTACGGCATCTGCCTCCTAACTCCACTTTCATAAGCATTGACTTAAAGGCAATGAGTATCAAGGAATCTGTCCCACGCTGATTAAATAACATGAGTTTTGAGAAATAACATACAACATGAGAAAATTCCGAGTGTCTGAGGGCTTATTATTTTAAGACTGTTGCAGTTAAATACTGCCTTCTGCAAGACACACAAAAATAGCTCTTTAGTCAGCTGGGTGATTCTGCTGCTTATGGTACTGTTTTCACAACACAATAGACAAACCAGATGGGTTATTTTTCAAGGACTTTGTCCATCATCATGCATATGGTGTTTCTCTGCTAATCTGTTCCCTGGAGAAATAACAAAGCACCTGGATTTCTAACCACCACTATCCCATCCTAATGGGTGACCAGTAATATATACTGCTCACTGCTATTTGTAAAACAACCTCCTCCAATTTAAGACATTCAGATGCCTTTTCATTTTTCTAAACATCTTAACTCTATTCGAAATGTAGTTGCAAATATAACTATTGCTCTAATTAGACAAGTACGAGAATGTGAATGCATTCTCTCATGCTAATGTGTTCTGGGTCTTGGTAAGGATGAAACCATACAGTTCAGAAGATAATTCTCACGGGCTCCTAATTTATTAAAAATTGCACTATCAGCAGTTGTAGCTCTCTACCCACTCCCACTAGATCTAGTTTAAGATGAAAGCTGATTCAACTGTCAGGTTACTCAGGTGATTTTTTTTGGGGGGGTGGAGAGAAGGAAGAAAATTTCTACCTACATGTACCTTCATTCAGAAAACTGTAGCAGCAGAACCTTACAGAAATGGAAATCAATGTTTAACACCCATTTTTTAATAAGGTAATATGCAATCAGCCTTGTAAATCTATTCTAGGAGTTTTCAAAAGGCAACAAATTTAAAGTCACCTACTTTTTAAAAAACAAAACAAGGAACACTGATCTATCAATTTTATGCCTCTGTTGCCCTTAGCACACAACTTTGAAAAGGCCATAAAAAGACAAAAAAAGAAAAGAGTTACATTCAATTACAATAACTTTCCAAGAGACATCAGATACCTACAGCCTCAGTTTCTTACTCAGAATAACAACTATGGAACTACTTCCTCATGTTTCTTCTCCATATGGATTTTTAACCTGATGAATGCAGGTTAAAAATTTTTCTGAAGGTGGCATCTTTAAAGCACAAAAATCTAAAATTGTGACTCTTCATAAATAACTGCTTTTAATTAAGCCAAAAGACTTTTTTTTTTTTTCTTCTCAAGGACAATAACATTTAATTAATCTTCTAGTTCCCCTCTCTTTAATTCCTCCTTTCTTCCAAACAACTCAAGGCACTTCTGGTTCCTCTGTAGAAGTCAGTTCCTGTAGGTACTAAATTTACACATTCTAACTTAAAATATATATGTATATATCTTACATTAATAGGCATGTTAGGGAGAGAGAAAAAAGTGAACCTATTAAACAAGAAAAAAATATGAATTATTAATCCTACGCAACTACTGAAGGATTTCTAAGCCAAGACTCATGAATCATCTTTTTCAGTGAAACAGTTTGTGAAGTAGAAATGCTATTTTACTGCAATTTTGATAACATTTTACATTATATTCTACTATAAATTAACTCCTTCAGCCATTAGTTTTCCAGCATAATTTCTTACATTCATTTCAACCACTTTAAGTCCTTTTTGTTTCCAGGAAGTAGTTGGAGAAATCTTCAGACTGAAAGGGCAGAAGATTGATTTAGAGCTAATCAATAAAACAAATGGTAACAAATTGTCAGGTCTGGATGTTATTCCCCAGAGTGTATAAGAGAATAAAAAATGAATAATCAAATCATTAACTGTGATGTGTAGAATGCCCTTTAAATCAACTGCAGAATTAATAGTTTGGAAAGCAGCAAGTGTGGCAAACACAGTTACACAATGTAGGAAATTAAAGTACAGAAGTCTGATCTCTGCACAGGTAAATTGTGGGATTGCAGTAGAGCACATATTTGTGTAGTAATTTTAATAAAATGGGAGAGATTCTATATGACAGTTGCTCAATCTCTCTCTAAACATTTTTAAGGATCTGGCAAGAAGGTGAATAAAGAAGATGCTGTTAACCATGCCTTTTGATTTCTACAAACCTTTCAATAAAGTTATCATTGAAGCTATCTTTGGATGTGAGAGAAGGTTATCTGGTGAAGTCTGAAGGGCAGAATAAAGACTGCTTTCATAATAGAAAGCCACAGTTATTAGAGGTTACCTTTTCTGGAACCTGTGTCTTTCAATATATTCATAAGCAATCTGGAAATAGCTGAACAGCAAAATACTTACAGAGTGTTTAGAGACTCAATTAAAAGCAACAGAAAACAAAAATCTTCAAATTCATGGAAGAAAAGGCCATAAAAATATATTAAATGCACTGATATAAATAGTAGATTTGTTTTTAAAGCCCAAGGCTGCCAGTAACAAATGGACAAGTACGTTACTTTATCTGAAGTTACTGCATTCTTTTAATGCCTGCTACTGCCCACTATCATCAGTGAGTAGACATACAGCTAGTTGAACTGCAAGTGCTATTATTTTTATAAAAAGATACTTTGAAATGACAGATTTGACTTCATTTCTCTATTTCTCTCCTCCCCCCCTCGAACTCTACCACAGTTACTATACGTTAATTTATTTTTCCAGACAGAATTTCTCTCTGCTGTTTATGCCTGCACAAGAGCTATGTGTTGTATGAGAAGTAGACCAAAGTTTTGCCGCATGCTTTTGGGTGAAATGAGTTACTTAATGAGCACATTTAGACCTGAATAATTCAGAAGATGAGCTTATAGTTAGCTGAAGTCACTGAAAAGAAAAAAAAAAAAAGTATTTTTTTATACTGGCTCAACAGTTTTCCATCCCTTTCTGTTTAGAAACCCTGAGTCAGCACCTGGAGTACCTGGGGCTCTGTGGAGATGACACGGAAGCTGAAGACCAGATACTTGAAAGTCTAAATGGGATTCTCGTGGCTCTTACTGAAGATAGCTAAGTATCACTCTTGATCGCTTTTTAACTGTTTACACAATGTAAAGTATGGAATGGAAGTATTCACTAGAGCTTTTCATCTATTGTGATAACCTGTATTAGAAGAGGCTGCTGCTGATGCTATAGATCTCCCCCAACCTGTTTCATGATTTTCCTTTCTTTCTGCCTACTCTCAAACCTACCTGTGACCAAATAAAGTTACTGACCCCTAAAACACCTCAAGCTACAAAGAAATTCCAAATTTAATGTTCTACTTATTACAAACTCCTACGATTAAAAATGGAGTGACCCTATCAGAACATAGGTAAAAACTGATTACTGTGAAACACTTAGCTCAGATATAGGTAGAGACCACATTAACCTCCAGAACTCATTTCAAGGATTAATTAGCAATTAAGGTAAATTTGTAAGAAATAGATCTGGAAGAAAAATATCTCTAAATCACTCTAATCACTCAAATTACTAATCTCAATGGTACAACAGGCATCTTAAACTAGAAAATCCATTATTTGTGTCATATAAAAAGCTGTAATGGGCTTAAAATGCAGTGAATTTGTTACTGAACATATTTAAGTTTATAGCTAGTTATTCTACAATACAGCACAGTAATCATTATGTAGATGACCAAAAATGACTTCTGGAAGTAATTTTCATAAGAATAAGCACAAAGACTAAAGTTCCTGAAATGTTATCTGAAATACTGATGAATTTTTCAAATACCACTTCGAATAATCCAATAAATTAGAGCAAAAAATAAGTTCCTAGGTATTTACAGACTTTATTCTATTTGACCATCCCATTAATAACACCAGTCTCATCTCAACAACTGTTTATACTTTTCTTACCTTATCATGTTTTCCAGTCCAACGCATCACCACCTCTCTACTAGTGCTGTTCCGCAGGGCTGTACAAACAGATATTGCCAACCTATTCTGCCCAAAAGCCCTTTCAATTTCTCACAGACATCTTATTTGCAGAGGCAAACTAAGTATCTGAGGGGACAGAAATCATGCCTGTCAAGAGCTGATTACTTGTTAATTGAGAACTGTTTATTCTTCACTGAGGGAGCTTGTTTTACTTGTGCGGTAGCTCTCCCTCCTTCAGTGGCTATAGTGATTTGACCGTACTGGTACAGCAGCGTGCTTCACACACAACATGTGAACAAACCCCTTTGAGCCCACAGAAAGTAAGAGTTACAAAAATCTGAAGAATAAGGCAAACATGGCTCTAACCCTTTAAGAGATTTCAGCTCACGAGATCTGATTTTTCACAGGCTTTCACGAAATGTCAGTCTTTCCTCATTAACCAGACTTCCTGATCTTCCTGAAGACCTCAGAGAGGTTTTCAGCAGTATCCAAGGACTGCTCTGTACTAGAGATCTAGAGCTCTAAACAAGCCATACACACTACTTGTTTGCAAATAGCTTTGCAAAAAGACCATACTTGTAGTTACGACAAATGCTTGCAATAGTATTCAGTGTATTTTTAATGCAGACAGACATCACTGCAGCCCCACTCAGTGTTCCAGGCCAGGAAGAGCACAGCATCCAGCTTCAGCAATCAAGTATGTTGGCAATGTTCTGAGGAAATCTGCCTATACCAAATGAGTCTTTTAGTACTAAATAAAGTAGAGAAGATACCATGCTATACATCTTGACAGTTACAGTTATGTCAGCTTTCACATACAAAGCCAGAACTCAATCTCCCTTCTGTAAATATTAGATTGAATTCTTATAAAGGCTTAGCTCTAAGAAAGCTTGTTATTAACCTTTTACCAAATTACTGTGGAATGATGCTGTAATGACATTTCCGCATTATAGAATTGGTTTATGTAACCACATAAGAAGAAATTGTGTATCTAGAAAACATATACTCAAGCACCCTTTACCTTTTAAACACAGAAAAATCAATAGGTGAATAGAAAATTCGATGGTCTCCAGGGGATAGCCAGACAAAAGCAAATTAATGGAATGATCTACATCTCAAAACTGCATCGGTGTGTCTGGGTTGCATAACACAGCCACATTGTATGGGTAGTAGTAGTCAAAGCAAAATAATGAGGTGTACAGAAATGGCTAGCACTGGAGTTCTATACAATGAATTACTGTTTATTGTAGGTTTTCTACTATAATACAACTTGGCCCATTTCTAAATAGAAGAATGTCACTTTGACCTGCTTTGAAAGAGAAGCAGGTTAGATGGGATCCTCTGGTTGATTATTCCCTTTGTTACCTACAGTATCAGAGATATTCTAATTCTTATACCAAGAAAGTCAATCAGTCATTTCATGACGATAAAACATGCAGCCTTACAGTAAATAGTCTCACACAGATACCGACAACAAGGAAACAGACTTTAAGTTTTATTTTAATTGTCTATGGTTTGAGCTAAGACATCCACCAGCCAGACAAGAATTTTAAAAGTAGTTCTTATTATCCTTACGAAAAAATCTTTCTCTAAGGTCTCTGCGCGTTCTCCTGAGATCACATATACCTGCATTTATTTGAATGCCCTGGCAGATGGTGACTTACTACTTTAAGGACAACTAGACGTGCTTTTAATGTAAAAAGTCTGAGAGAATGGACTGTTCCAATTGCTGGTCTAATAAAAGATATTGTGCCTACCTACAAAATTAATGGCTAGGCAATACATCAGGAATAGCATCTTAATCCACAATTTCCCATGCCTTACGCAAGTATCTTTTTATAGTCAGAGATGAAAATGTCTTCCTCTTTGCTTTGCCACCTGTGCTTCAATTCAGCATGAAGCAGAATAATCAGCTGGATAGACACTCGCTGCAATTTAAGCAGATGAGCATTCCCGTATATTTAGACTGAGACAGACTTAAGTACCCTGTTAAGGCAGCAACTTAGATCCCAAAGACAGCCACTCAAAAGTCTAGGAAACAAAGTACCATGTAAATAAACAGTTGCAAACCTACTGCAGGTGTTGTTAATATTCCTATCATTACAGAGCAGAGATCCTTCAGCCTACTCAGAGAGAGTGGGATCTTCCTAACTTTGGCAAAAATCCTGAAAGGCAATCCACGATGTGCAGTGAAAGCAGCCCAGGTGCTTTCAGAGATAGCCAAGAATGGTATGTTGCACTTTAGTATGTACAGCGGTACTACAAGGCATATTACAGCACCTTAGCTGTTTTTCCACTGCTTAATTTTGTTTCATGGCTACCAGTTATTGGTCTTGCAATTGCAATCATTTTATTTTAACATGACAAAAGACACAGCAGTCCCTCTCCTTTACCTTTTCAGATGAAATGAAGAAGCCGTGTATTGAAGCAGATTTGGTTGTGACTTTGATACCTTTGCTGGAAAGCACAGACCAAGAAATGCTTCTTCATGCTGGGCGGGCTATTGGCCGTATCTGTTATGATAACCGTAAGTAACTACTTGAGAGAATTCAATTTTTTTCTAGTTGCAAGACTATTTTAGAAGGCCTTATTATGAATTATAAGCTATGTTTTATTCCATGAGACCTGAGCACACTATGCACTTCAAACTCCTGTTAGTCATACAGTATACACAGCTCACAGATTCCAGTCTGAACTCATCCCAAACACACCCTAAACTGAGTTTCCCCCTATATTTTTGACTTCAAGGTGATATATCTTTCTCAGACCAGAGGCTGAATACTTCCGCTCTTCAACTAAAGAGTAGCAAAGCTTCATATATACCTTAACAGCTTAGCAGAACTACCTTGGGGCCAAATCCCAACACTTCTCCCAAGTGTTTATAAAGCAACAGGTTGTTTTTTTTTTTCAAGTATGTCAGGAAAAAAACATTAAAAAAATACTGAGACATTATCTAGTTCTTTATTAAAGACCATTCTTTGCATATAGAAGATCTCTGTGCTCCAAAGATTTCCATAAAGCCAGTATACCAGCTTGCATGCTGGTCTCAAAAATTAAGCCCGTTTCACTTAATTGACTCAACAGATTATTATTATTTTTTAATCCTCACTTCCCAGACTGACCAAAGTATTTATGGCATCCTGGAGTTAATATGGAGCTTTTCACGCAGTGTCTGCTATCAATATCCCTCAACATTCTCTTATTTTTCTAGTGTGGACCCATGTAGATTTGTCTGGAGAACCATGGGTTTGCCTCCTTGCATTGTTGCTATGAAATCCAAGCATGATAGGCAAAAAATCTGTATCTGGTATAGATTCTACTACCTCCCTGCAAATTAGATCACAGATTCCCTGATTGAATTACAATTACATATCCTACAATAGCACCCAGATGCTTTTCCTGGTAATTGTCATACATGCTGCCACCTGAGTTGCAGTCTAGCTCTCAGCAAGACACTTACAAAAGCACTGTCATTGTAATGGTAAGCAACCACCACTGACCAACTTTGTATCTCAGTTTTTGGCGTTCTCAAAATTATTGTAGAAATTAAGCCTTCAGTCACTGCAAACCAAACTACAAAAAGAAGAAAGAAGTTATCCATTTTTTCAGTAATTCTACAGAGACAACTGTACTTCATATATTAGAACTATGAACAAATTCATTTCAACTTACCGTACTTCACTGACTTCCCTTGAGCTACAGTGATTTATGCTTGTCTGATGACTTTGCTCAGCCTATAAAAATGCCAAAGGTACATTGAATTCAAGCACTCCAAGGCTCCCTACATTCAGAACAATTAAAAAAAAAAAAAAAAGATACACTCGTAGATCAACTTTAAAGCCACCTCTCTTTCTCAGTAGTACCTTATAACAGCCTGGGTATTGTAAAGCATCTTTCACAAAGTTTTTTGTTTGTTTGTTTGTTTTTCTCCTCAAAAAATAATCATTACCAACATGCAAAGAACAGGTATGTGGACATATACTACACAGTTCAGAATACTGGTGATCCCCAAAAGCTGAGTCGTCACTAGATTGTGCCTTATCATAGGTTCGAGTCCCTTATATATCTCTGCCCTTTAGACAGAAAGAAGCCATGGGATAATACAGGTCAGGTTCCTGCTCCCCAAGAGAAATAAGCCAATGTATATTTCTCACTCAATTTTCAGATAGTTATGAAGTGATGCAGTCCATCAGAATTTGCACTAGAAGGTGTGCTACTAGTCAAGATGCTCATTCAATTGCCCTGATCTATTTATTTTTCGCAGTGGCCTAATTACTCAGTTCAAACTAAGACCCGGAGGTCTAGCAGAGCTGTTCTGAACCTGTATTTTCCATGCACACACATTAGCCTGAACCCATGACATGAATGCTGTATGAAATGTAACAGTGTAAAAACGAACTAGATTCCCTTGCTGCAAAGAATCTTAGTTTGACCTTGTTTACTGATTTAATTGGCCCCTATTTAATCATCTTTAACTTCTGTGCATGCTATTACCAGGTGATCTTCAGGAAGAGCTGGTGAAGGTAGGTGTAATCTCATCACTAGTCCGAATATTGACTGATTATGCAGAGAGCGAACCACTTGTCCACGTTGACCTATTGGCCTTATGCAATCTTGCAGACCTTGGTAAGTAAATGCTTTTGTATCTTGCAGGTAAATGTCAACTTCACACTGTCATTGCCTTATCATTTACATGCAGAATGCCCACAGCTGTGGTAGGCTTTTTTATTTGTTTTGGTGGGTTTTGCTCGTTATTTCCCCTTACTGGTACATAACAAGAAACTGGCCACAGCACCCATGTTGGGAAAGTTACTATTCTGTCCTGGAGTATCAGCAATTATTATTTAATAATTATTAAAATAATTAAGTTTCAGCAGACTGTTTTTTGTTCTAGAAAAAAGGTATAAATGGCATAACTTCATCTACTGTAAACTGATATAGTTTCAACTAATTCAGATACAGTACATAAAAATACTGTTAAAAGTTCTATTTAATAATTATATTTATAAACCTTAATGAATCAGTTTCCATTTTCATTTACATAATTTTTAAGCAAAGGCATCTCCATCAATCTGAACTATAATTGTGGAATCTTACATAAGCCTTAAGTAGTGATGGAGGAATAAGACCAAACAAAAGAAGTTACCACGCTTTGTATACGGTCTGACTCTACGCTATAGTTTAATTACCTCCTGTCTTTAGGGGAGAGGCAAGAAAAGGGGTATGTCACACTATCTTCTAGCCAGGCCTTCCATTTATAAATCTCTTACAATACTTAATACCATATTCTATTAAAATGTGTTCTATGTCTAAGAACAGTAAGCTTTAAAATATTTGATCTCTGTTATCATCATCTTGCAGATGGTTAGGATCCCAGTGAGATTAGAACTACCTAATCTAATCAAGGCAGAAAATATACTGCTACAGCAAACAGGCATGTGGCAGATGCCAATTTGATAAATGAAATAATCATACTGCAGATGGATTTATAAGAGTAATTTATAAGGAATTAAGCCAGGATTAATTTCACAGCTATTATAAAGTCATAGCTACAGGAATTAAACAAAAAAAAAAAAAAAAGCATTAAAACAATGAAAGTAGTAAAGATGGGGAGTAATAAAAGTGATGGAATAGAGTTTTGCTGTCTCAGTGCTGTTCAAAGGGATAAATAAATATAAAATATTTATATATGTATTTATAAATAAAACAGGAAAGGCTTTCAAAATCAAAGTAACATCTAGTCACTTCTGATTATAGGAAGATACGCTTTTAACATTTTATCAAATACAGAACCAAAATCCTGACTTTATCATATACGCAGATACAGCTAAGGAAGCTCTAAGCAAGACAAAGGTTGCTGAACAGCTGGTGAAACAATTGAGAAGAGCAGAGAACCATGAAAGGTTAGAAATCATCTTTGAGGTCCTACAAGCACTTGCAGAAAATGGTAAGGCTCCTTTTGGCTTGAGAGAAAGAGGGGAGAAAGGGATACTGGTGCTTAACTTAAGCTCTGGGTTCTGCATTTGCTGAGGGATCCTACTATTGGAAATTAGTCATCCCTTCAACGGAAATAAACCACAAGAATATGTGAAATCCCAGCCTGATTAAGGCTTGGAAGCTTAATAGGTGAGACAGCAAATCCAGGCAGGAGAGAATAGCTTTCCACTCTATTTTGGTAGAATATGACTTCGCAACAGAATACCAGAGTAAACAAAAGACTGAAGTCTTTTCTTTTTGTATTAAAAACTTGACAACCAAATACAGAAGGTATCTACTCTAAGCAGCAGTGTAACAAGCACTGACAAGAATCCATCTAGAATATCTAGATACCTGATGAAAACTCATAACTGGCTTTGCTCATCCTGCCTGTGGTTTCATCGTTGCACCAGGATGTCTGATAAACAAAGAAACAGAAAAAAAAAAATAAAAAATAAAGACCACACCTGGAAAGAGACTGACCTAAATTCAAAGATTTAGCTTCCTAGCTTGAAACTTCTAATATGACCCAAGAAACTTCTAGTGTGCTTTTGTGTTCTTTACAGATGCTCTAAAAGTTCAGTTGGTGGAGGCAGGTGTGCAAGAGGTGCTGTCTGACATCCTGCTGAGGCTCCAGGGCAATTCACAAGCTGAAGATACATGCATCGTGAAGGCTGCATCAGATCTCATTGTCTCTCTGCTTCTTGGAGGTAAAATAAAATAATGGAATATTGACAGTCCAGATACATAAAGAAATGTCAGGAAGTCCACTTGGAAGAAGTGTTGTCATCATCTGCTCGGTTGCTTCCATTTGCTTAACAGGGACACATCTGCAACCTGTTTCATAACCCTTAAGGGAATTCTCAGACATTGTATTTTTTCAGTGTTTATAGGAGCTTGGTGCTCATGTTGCAATGCTTCTCTTCAAGCACCATGCATATGCTACCTCAAGCAATCTAATAACAATGTGAATGCTTCTGTGCAGAAAGCAAGTGCAGGTACAAGAACTTCGAGCCACTGTAGCTGTACCCATGGTTGTGTCAGACACACCCAGCTTCTAACACTTTACTTTCTAAGATGAGCCAAGAATCTGCTTTAAATTTAAAGCTAATCATCAGATTAAAATGTTCACATGGTGCTGTGCCACCTGTCTATCCTCATTCACTTCTCCAAGCCTACTTAAATACTTGAAGCATTTGGATTAACAAGTGAAATGTAAGAATTTCCTTGTAACGTAAATTGAGCATTTACGTAGAAGGAAGAACATCATCATTCCATGCTACACACATGGCTGATGTAGATTTTCCTCTCAGTCTTTAAGCTGATTTGAGCAACACTACAAAAAGGCTGAAGACACCTAATGCACCTAAGTTTAGGTGGCCCTGTTATATTGTATTTTGGACAACACAGATTAAAAAACAAACTTCAAGAACTGGACACTTACACTGTACCCCACCAACCAAATTCCAAAGTAATCATCAGTTTAAAGATTTTAAATTATTAACTACAGCAACAACCTTCAAGTCATTATTGATTCATATGTCCTCTCTGGTCCCCTAACAAAGACAAACAGAACAGTTCACTTTGGGGGTAACTATGAGCAGACACGAGATGTACATTTAACATTCTCTATTTATCATGCCTTAGATAAACCCATGAAGAATTTTTATGTATTTATTTTGCTAAGGGACATGGCATTATCTCCCAGAATGCTGTTAACTGCCTCGTATCCAAACATACGCAGCGACAGAGTCAGGAACACTGGCTTTTGCTAATTTTACAAAACTAACGGTAAGGTTGCTTTTTCTCTACCCATCAAAGCTAGAAAGCCACTGTTTGTGAGTGAAGAACAACACTGTTAGATTTTATTGCCTCATGCCTCTGAAACTATAACCTTGTTTTTCTGCAAACTAGAAACTTGCATACATTTAAGTAACAGAGACTAAGGATATTGAAATAATTTGAGGAACTTTAAGTCACTTTTGGGAAGTGGGGAGGGGATTACTCAGACATAGGGGAAAAAAAGGAATCTCAAGATAAGCCATTTTTATCTTTCACACTTTCCTATGATAGAGAGCAACGAGCCTTAATACTATGCAGAGAGAAACACAGAGAGACTCTTATAAAGAGACGCTTGGGAGACATGCTGTGCTGAATCGGTCAGCAGAAGAAACTCCGTTTTCTGTCCATTCCTTTCTCATTGACAGATGCTGTGATAGGTTCAAGCTTAATTAACAAAAAGGAGCTCTTTTTTTGAACAATTCCTAACTTTCTCCACTAACTTAATTATCAGTAAGGATTCCCTGAGATCTTTCTGAATAGTTAAGCAAGACAGCTCACTTCAGAAAAACGATGTGACAGTATCACTTGCATTTCTCCTCGCCTTCCCCCACATCCTTTCTAGCCTTCCTTTCTTCATTGTCTCTTACCTAGCTCTGAAGCAGCCTTTGTGCACGGCTGCCCACGAAGGCTACAGAAATGCCCTCCGTGCCTTTAGACTTGCTATCTCCGGCTTAGCCAGCTGAATGGCTTGCTTTGTCACTCCCTCTTCTCCCTCCATCTCCCCCACAACCCTATTAGATATTTCATGTGGAATAAATGAATAATCCTTTTCAGGCCCCAGTTTGTGCCTTTAATCTAAGAAAAGAAATCCTATGGAAATCTGATCTCAGCATCAAATGACTTCTGAGGCAGTGAAAAGATGACAGCTTTTGCAGCTATGAAAGTGTCTGTTCCTAGCAGAGTTTAACCATGAGCCATTAAATTCAAGGTTCTGCTGCCATCCAAGGCAAAAATCCATAGGAGAGAACCAATTTGGAGCTCTGTGACAACTGAAGCAAGGAAGCCAACTAATGGGTTCTGCCTATTTGCACTTTACAAGAGGGTAAAAAAAAATGTTCTGCCATTCTTTGGTGTGAAAGGTGGGGGAGGAGGGAAATTAAGTTCATTTCAGGTTAGTCTATATGAAGATCAAAGTATTTTGCCTGTAGAATTTTCTCAGGACAAAACAGTCTATTCTCAGACAATCATTCCTAAGAAAAGTTGCCTAGCCTTCTTTATATACTCTAACCTCCAAAGATAAGGACCAGGCAAAAGAACGTTTGAATAATCACAACCAAAAAGATCACCTTTAGAGAATGTAGACATAAAACACTTATCAAAAGATTCTTGCATGACTAAAATTTGAACTATTTCACAGAATGACAGTTTTCTCATGAAAATATCCCCTCATTCTATACACATTTGACTTTCTTATTTAACATATGCAGAAATACAGGGGGAAAAATATGCCACTAACTCAAATGCAACAGCAGTAAAAATGCTAAAAGAACTAGCTTGTTCAAAAGAGAACACAGAGGAGTTTTTACTACTTTGGGGCAGAAATAATATTCAAACAAGCACAGATGTTAAAACTACTACATATGGCCATTTAAGTGGTATATTAAAAAAAAAAAAAAATCTTAGACATGCAGCTAGCACTATGAGGAACAAGCAAAGCTACTTCTGAACTGATTCTTGATTTGTACCAACCAAGACTGCATAGTTTCACAGGTAGCTCTTTACCCCAGGTGAAGATGCGGTCTTCCTGTATGGCATTCACAATTTTTGCCATTTTCTAACAAATAATATTCATATAGTAATAACACAGTAATAACAGAATGTTGACTGGTGTCAAGAAAATGCTTCTCTTGCGGTGTGATTAACTACACAAAATAATAAAATGCAGAAAAATATTTGCCAAATGTCATCCTCAAAACACTTCCTTCAAAAAGACGCGGAGGGTAACAGTTTTCGTCAGCTCTTCAGGGGAAGGCACCTTCTCATTTCCTATCAAGGAGAGCTAAGGAAGTTCTGATAACAAAAGTCCTCTCATCACTGCAGACTGAGTTCTCAAAAATAAAGGGAGACTATACAGACATACAGAAATGCACTTACAAAGAATTGTGGAGCACTTACTGTGCAAAATGGTGATTCTTTGGAAAGTATAAATCAGCTCTTTCACCAGCTTTGAATAGATAAGAACTCTCTAGGTCAATAGAGATTTTCCAAATTTCATGAGTGCAATGCAGACTTATTTCAGAAAGTGCGTTTCTCAGAACAGGTAAGAAAAATCTAATGATTGTACTGAATACAAGGAGTAATAGCAGTACAAAACTAGTAATCAGACTCACCATTGATAGCTAAGATATCTGGTCTTGCTATAGTCTCTTAAACCAGTAGAACAGCAAAATGGGGCATTAAAGCTATCCTGTGGAGAAATGGAAAATGCCACTAGTATTCCATCACATGTGTGTGTATAGTTATATATATATATATATATTTATATATAGTAGTGCATATATATATATATAGTGGAAAGTAAAGCAGTGGTGGAGGAAGAAACTGAATGGAGAAAATATTGATTTTAATTTGACAGTGACTGGCTCTAGCAAGAGTTTTCAAGCTAAGTCTTACTAGAGTGTGCATCTCACAATCAGTTCACAAGTAGCTGAAGCTCACTTCCAGCTCTAGAGAATTGAAGACTGTAAAAACAATGCAAAAATGCAAAAGCTACAGTCTCAATCTCATCAAAACACTGAGACAGACAAGGCAAAGTCTCCCTGAATTCCTCATTCACATGATTAAGTTTCTTATCTCATCTGTCTACTTGCTTGGTTTCTCCTCTTTCTTTAGATGGCAACTGTATACGAATGGTACAGGTGGGAGTCATACATCAGCTTCTGGACCTTTTGGAGAAACATGTGGAGAGTGGGGATGTCTCTGTACAACATGCTGCACTCAGCGCACTTCGAAACCTTGCTATCCCAGGTACAGAATTTGAAGATCAATGACTTACTGTGATTCCTTGTAAAGATGGATCATTTAATGTAGATCTGTGCAGCTCTGTCCAAGTCATCATTTCCAGTGTCATGTATTCTGAGGGGCAATTGACTTTTTTCCCCCTGCAGAGACATATTTTTGCATAATTCATCAGGATTTTTCAGCTACATGAAGGGTCTAAATATAATACACTGTAATCTCATTGCTAACCGCTGGAATTATTTCCTATTAACAATATACAGCAGTTTAAGATAATAATGCAGAACCAGGCTTATAGCTTAAAATACATAGTTTTGTGTGGAGCTCCCATCACACTTGGTAGATTTTTTTTTAATTATTATTTTAATAAACTTGTTCTTCTATAAAGCCAATGTTCATTGTAAATTTGCCCTGTACAACACTTTAAAAATTTTACTTGTGATCTTCAGTAAATCCATATCAGAAAATTTTGTGCTACTGCTTCCACTCGTAAACATAATTCAGACAAAAAATGTTTTACTGGAGACTTAACAGAACAGCACCACAGTCCTTACACTGTGGTATAGCACTCTTCAGAGGAGCACAATGACACTTTTCTGAAAATACAAACTTGGAGCTATTTGCTGAATTTTCTATGTAAGCTAGCCAGCAGGCCTAGTTTTGTAAATAGTTCTACATATATAATCATTACTTTGAATAAACAAGAGCACCACAAGAAAACTTACTACTTTGCTTCCACTGCTTCCTTTTAAATCCTGATACACCTTGTACCAGGTGTTTGAAGCCCTTGCTTCTTCCTTCAGATAGCTCTCTTCAAAACTTCACTTATCCAATTTCAACTTGTTTTTATACACTCTCAGGTAACTTAGTTTTGCCTATAGTATTACCACACTCTCTGCATTATAAGAGTCAGCCACATCATGTCTATTCAGTGTTTCAATAAATATATTCCACATGATTAACATCTCACCACTTCTGTATTTCTCTGTAAAGAGGTTTTCTAACACTGTTCATATTAGTAGATAGAGGCCTGTGCAATAGCTTTTTGGTGCTAGTAGTGTATGCAGAGATTTCTATGCATGCAAGCTACCTTACATCACTTACAACTTAACACAGCTTTTAAAAGATAATGAAAAGCAGCTTGGCTGTATGTGCATATATCCAGATACGTATTTACAGTGCTAAGCCTATCCTTGGGAGTTTCTTAACAGAGCAATGAACACAGTTCATCTTGCAAAAATCATAAATCTAAAACTCTGGAAGACCATGGATGTAACCTACAACTTCGCTCCTATATTACTGCCTGATACATATAGTACTGGTAGAACTTAATGTTCTCTGCAGCTGCACTTTAACAGGCTGAATTCCGAATTATAAAATACCAACGGATCACTAAGGGGCCTCTTTTTTGTTATCTGTTCTGCTCAATGTCTATCACAAAACCTCTTCGATCTTTCCAATTTTATGTTTCTACCACAGAATTTCAACTAGATGTCAAACTAGGAGAAAAACAAAAATGAAACCTGCAGACACAACTAATGAGGTCTGTGTAAACATAAAAGATCAACTAAAGAAGTGGAAGTATTTAATAAAAAAGCAAGCAAAACATAATAGGCATTATTTAAAATAGCTGTAATTGAGCAATGCATAACTTAGATTTCAAAATTACCTGTTCCTAAACTGTGTTTTTCCTCATCACCTCAATATATATATATATAAATATAAGCGCAAATCTAAACAAATCATAAAAGAGAAAAAATTAAATAAAGGCCAAATTTGCAAACGTGCACAGGGGAGGTCTTAAGTTAATTCAAATAGTGATCTTAAAACTGTAAAAGAAATAAAATCATTATGCTTTAGTGACTAGAGTCAGTCTACCACTGAAAAACATGCACAATAAGAACAAGTTATTTAAAAGTGCCTGCTTCTCAGTTTGCCCAACAGAAGGTCAGACAGAACAGACATCTTCCTAATTTCACTGTCATCCATCCCTCCTCCTAAAAGGCATGCAGAAGACTGGAGGAAAATTGCTCTGGATGAAGCTGCTTTTGGTAGCACAGTTAAGCAGCATTAGGACTCCTTCCAGACAACTGTCTGATCATTACCAGGGATTACTGCACTAATGACTGGAGCAAAGATGCAAGATTTAGGAGAGGAAGGCACAAAAACAAAGGTGTGAGCAACAGAGGGTTGGTGAGCTCAAATAAAAAAATGTCATTCTCAAGAAATAAGACTGAGTCATTTCTGCCACCCAGTTCAAGATGAGCAAGCACAGGAAAACCTTGCTCATAGGGGTGGGTGAGTAGGTGAATAATCTATAACAACTAGAAAACTGAGGGAAACAACAATGCTGTGTTTATCCTGTTATATACTGTATTCTAGACAGAGCTGAGATCAAAAGTACCCAAAATATTCTAACAGCACTGCCTAAAAACTTTTAGCTCAAAAAACACACCTAAATGGTTGGGTTGTCCTGATTTCATCCAAGTACTCCAATGAGTTGGACCCTTTTGCTAAGATCATAATGGAACACAAAATTCAGAACAATTATATCCTATCTATACCTTCAGATGCTCCTACAGTTAGTGAGCTTCACACTAAAGTCCCTTTTTTCCCCCCTGGTTCCATTTTCTAGTTGTTAACAAGGTTCAAATGCTGGAGGAAGGTGTGGCAGAACGGATTCAGGCACTTCTAAGGTCAGAGATGCCTCCTGTGCAGTTTAGACTTCTGGGAACACTACGGATGCTAGCAGATGGTCAAGGTAGGGAATTGCTAATGTTTCCTGATGTCAGCTACACATTCCTCTCCTTCCCTTCCCCCACAAGACAACAGATGTGCATGTAGAGGCCAGGCTAAGTATCCTGCTAACCTAATTCCACTCACTCTGGACAAATTCCAAGAGAGGCCATTGCTCAAGGCTACAAGCCCTCCCATCGTGCCCTTAGCCAGCCTCTGAAGCAGATGAGAAGCAAATCAAACAGAAGAATCTGCAGTAGTCAGGGAGAAATGGCAAAAGCCTAAAGAAAGATGCTTTCCACTGGACACATATGAGCAAAGCCTGAGTATGATGGAAAGGAGTCAAAATAAGGATTTATAATGCCAAACAGCAAGAAAGCAAATGAATAGAAGAATTGGGCAATATAAAGGATCAAAAGGAGCTGAGGTTTGGAGAGGAAGAAGAAATGAGTTTCTATTACTAACAGTTTCCATACATGTTCCCAGGTTTATCTCAGTAAGGCTCAAATGTTGCATTTACTTTAAGCATTGAAATATGGGATTATCTACTTCACACGCCACATCATTTAGTTTTGCATAGACAAGCATGCAAAGGCAATGAGACTCAATGCTTCTCAAAATGTAATTACACGCAAAGCGCACCATTTAGGCACAAAACCTTGGAATTACATTAAGATCTAGTACCATGTCCCAATTCTTTGATTTATTCAGCTTCTAAGCAGAATATAATGATATATGAAAACAAGTTGCTGTGGGTTTTTATGATAAAAACGCCCTAGTTGTCTCAAATCACCAAAGCAGCTGCTCTACCATACTGATCACTATAGACCATCCTGATGTGCAGGAACAAAAAGTCAAAAACAGAATCAGGAAAGTTGTAGCCATTTTGCAATGGGAACTGACTTCTGCTACAGAACAGTTACAACCACAAATCCATGACAATATGAAAGAGCAGAAACAAGCACGCTCTGCTGTACTTCACATTGCATTCCTTTACATCAATGCCCTCTCCACACTCTAATTTGACAGCTACTTGCATCAAATTTTCAAATGAACATGCATCAAATTCAGATCTAGCACTCATTGGTTTGAACCCATTCCAGTCCAGTAAAAGGCTGTTTCCACTTATATTTCACCATGGTCAGAAACTTCCCATCTTCTTCCTCTCATGCTTTGAAGGAGGTCATTAAAATGTCATTTCTCTGAAGTGATAACTGGATTTCTGGATTGTGAGAGACCATTTATCTTTTAAAATTGAGACATTAGAATAACATAGATCTATATTAACAAAACCTTTCTTTTCTCTCACACTCAATGCTATTTTCAGCCCTGATACGAAGTCAAAATTTGGCACAAAATGGTACAACTTCTGAATCTGAAACAACACAGATGTCAAAGTGCTGAGTAGAAGAAGATTTAGAGGATTATTCAATGTTTACCCATTTATGCCTATGAGCACACATTTCTCCCACCTTTAATTGCTTTCTATTGTTTACCCATGAGCTAACATTGTCCTTAATTAACTCAGCCTGAAATGCTTGTGAATACACATCTACTAACAAGTCCACACTAAATTAGCTACTTATATTAGTTAATTGCATTATCTAGTGTAAATTCATTACTCTGACAATCACTGGGCATGCTGAGACCTATAAAATAGAACAGAAAAGGAAGATTTCTTTCTAACTACAGAAAAATGCACTTAGCTCTGTCAGCTTCATTATGCTGAAGTGTTAGCAATGTTTTTTCACTTTGCTTCAGAACAGCAACAGAATTTGTGCACCTCACTACACGGCCAAAGGACCTTCAGCTCAAATTAAAGTTCAGTCATATGCACAATTGAAGTTTGGCATTTTATAATCTAAGAGTTCCTTCTGTTCCAGTTAATGAAGGCTAACTGGTCTTTGTCTCAAAGAGCTGGCAGACATCAGGAAGTCTCTGGTGAACTGGGTCAAGATCCCTTTTTAAGCAAACCCCTTGAACTGGTTCCATTTGACACCCTCTTACCTCTGTTAGCTTTCTAGACTAAACTGGATTACCATGATCTTCTCAGACTAACATGTGACATCTGACCTAGAAACAAAGCCTTTCTGTCAGAGGAGGTTATTGTGCAACATGCAACTTACCTCAAAACAAACACACTCAACTAGGCTAGAAGCTCCCACATCGTTACAGGATTTTGACCTGTGGATTGTTCTGTTGGGTACTGGACAGAAACCGAGGAAGTGTCTATCCTTCTTTGTCCATCTCCCGAAAACAGAAAAAAGTATAGTTTGACTTAAAATTTCTGCAAAATACCCAGAGTAGTCACGTGGTTTGTTGACATTGACATCTTGCACTCTCTTGTTTAACACTTTCCAGAATATCCCAAAACAAATACAATACACACAGAAAGGGACAGGTAAAGAAACCAGAGCAGGGTGTCATTGGCCAAACCTATTTCTTTTGTTCTAGATGCATTAACTTTAATTCTTCTTCAAGCCTTGTTTGCCTCAGGAAAGCTCCAAGAAACAAGTTTCTCAGCTTCTGAAAACCCTGGAGACTTCTCCCAACACTTTTACCTTTCTGAATCTGCTTCCAAATGAACAGGATATTCTGAGCTCACCCCCTGCTTATCTGATTTTAAAAGTATATTTCACAGTTCTCAGCACTTTCAAATCTACATTTTCCTTTGCTTTGGAAATCATTTTCTGCCACCTAGTCACTTTTGAGCCATAACACTTTAAAGGTGCATAATTAAACTACAGTAAGATTTGTACAGAACCCCGCATTAGATCAGAGCAATATCAAGACTGCATCTTCCGCGCAAGTAGTTTCTTTTGCTACTGAACTTTTGGGGAAGTTCAAACTACTGCGTTTGGGGATTACTTTCCCGTAGTGGTACAAATCTTAAGTTACAGCACCACTTTGGAGTTTCTCTTTCAAAAGGTTATTTAGTGAGGGGTTTTGTTTGTTTTCTCTGTGTCAACCATATAGATTAATACTTTGGGCAAGTCCTGAGATACTGTTCCTGAAGCACAGTGGAAAGTAAATTAATGCATTCCTTCAAACTTGAGGAAAATTTTAATGGTGTTTAATACATAGTTCAACACGTTGACTTGAGAATGTAATTACAGACATGCTGCAATTCTGTACCAAGGACTGGTTTCCCACATGCTACCAACAGTAATTATGGCCATTACTGAGAGCACCAAAATGGCAAGAACAGGCTCCAAAAAGCCCATGATTACATTCATAATGGTCTCAAAGAGCAAGTACAAGAAACAAAGGGAAAGAGACAGCCCTCATGTGAAGATTTTAATATAGCAACATAAAATTTGCTTTCAAAGATCTGAAACTCCTCATTTTAATCCCTGCTTCAGAGGCCTATGAAAATGCCAGCTTTATAGGAACAGCTTAATTTGTTCTTTACCTCCAAGCGGTGCCCTGAAACAACTGGCATTCCCCAAGCAAAGATATCCAAGATCACACAAGTCCAATGCTTTAGTTACAGCTCAGACCACAGGATGGAGCTCAGTATCCTTTGTTACCTTTACATTCACATTTCAGTGACAAAGACTGAGATTTTAAATGTCTCCCAATGATGCTTTTCTCTTCAGCTGATGCAGCTGAAATCTTGGGCCAAGACCCCATGCTGCTCAACAGACTTGTGCAGTGGTGTGATGTTAAGGACCATGCCGGCGTTCGTGGAGAAGCAAATCGGCTGCTAGCATCAATCGTGCGTCACAACAGATCGCAAGTATGAGTAATTGGTCTGATGTTCCTACCTTATCTGTCTCCTATTTTTAAAGCTTGTCCATATAGCAAGGGGTTAAATGCTAAACTGTATGCACAGCTACATAATTAAAAACAGGAAAGTTTTTGGTAAAATGCCTCTAGTCTGCCTCTGTGTCAATTGAAGAGAGGGGAGTAGGAAAGCAGTGCTCTCTGTAACTAGATATCACACTGAAACAAGCAACACTGTTACCTGCTGTCACTTGTTGACTTTTACCCCTCTTAAGGCTTGACAAATGCTAGGCAGGCAAAGCTTTTCTATTTCCATAAATAAATTAGTTTCAATCATAAATCAGACCTATCCTGCATGCCAGTCTCTCAGGAGTTCCAAAGAGCTCACTTATCAACCTACTGACGGATGAATCCAGCGTGATCTGGATCTACTAGCATATTATATTAGAACAGGCTTCTGTTTTTTGCAAATCATGCCATTACATACAGACATCCCAAATGTACTTTACTCTGAAGTTTCAGTGGAGTAGATACTACCTGCAAAGGCTTTGACAGAGTAAAACCAAACCTTTGCTGGTTTGAAGATTTAAATGAAAAATCAAAGTTCAAACTAAAATTCTTAAGAGACCATATATACACCTGCACAAACACCTTATACACATAATTGTAAGTACCAATATTCCAAGTAAATTAGACCAGCCTTAGGCAGACACATATGACTAGTGCCAAAAAGAGTTCTCTAGTCCCAGGATATATTCATTCCAAATACCATGACCTTGTATTGAAGCATGCAAATCATTTCCATCTATTCAGAGACTGAAGAGAGAGTGCAATTTTCCTTTTCATTCTACTTCATTCATAGCTCAGATTTCAATCTGTGATATTTTACCTTTGCTTTAACAGGAAGTGGTCAAAGCGGTGCAGGAGGCACAAGGAGTGAAGCATCTGGTTTCCATGACTACAAGTGAACATGCTGCCCTGCAGAATGAGGCTCTGAATGCCTTGGCAATAGCGTCTGCTATTGATTTAGGTATTTTTCACCTAAAAGCATTTATTAATATGAAGATCTTGCACAGTTAAGAAACGCTCATGCTGTTAATTTCATATGCAAGAAAAAGCATTATGGTCTAGATTTAGCTCTTAACCATCAAATAAAGGAAGTGACCCATCCAGTAAACAAGACCCCCAGAATTCAGGAATTGCCTGAATGCTTTTTGGCCAAGTAAAATAATCAGGTTGTGTGGACAGGATAATCTGCTGAGTGCTGTACGACCCTATAAACCTACAGAAACACAAAATGGAAATAATGATGAGGGCTAGAGAAAACGATGAGAAAAGATTTAAATGTAGACAGAATTAGACAGGGACAAGCTATGGAATTGAATGGTCAGTGACGACTGTAAATAAGAGGAAATAACATTCAGAAGACAGACACTTGAATGAAGTAAAAAAAAAAAAAAAACATAGAAAAAAGGAGCTTATGGAATATGCAAATGAAACAGATAAGATTAAATGCTGTAACTGCTTTTAGTGAGCTAGATTTTCAGAGGTTGAGTACAACTTCTTTTCAGGTTTGTCCTGTATAGATTTTTAAATATGATCAAAATTTATTACAATAAAGACAGCCACCACAAATTTACACACATCAAAAGAAATTGCAAGTCAACTTTAAGTTTGGATTTTTTTTATATCAACAAGAAAGCAAGACAGGGAAGAGCCCATTTTCATGCTTAGCCCACAATTAAGCCTTTCAGACTCATGTGTACAATTTAAATGACCTAGCTCTGATCATTAAGACTGTATGGGTTTATGTATTATGGGTTTATTTTGTAGTGTGTATGTTATAGAGGGTTCCATCTTACAGAATGAGCCTACTGAAAAAAACACTCTATAGGAAATCATACAGAAAACCCCCAGTATAGACAAGATGCTCAAGTCATCCTTGTATATGTAACTCATTTTAAATGAAGCCAGTCAGGAATTTTGTTTAAAAAAAAATAAAAAGAAAAAGAAAAGCATATTCAATCTTTGTAACACTCTTTTCACCCTCTTTTTACATAAGAGCTCAGGTATTTGTTTACTTATTTTTCAGATACCCTTGAAGCATCTTTTAAGGAATCACAGCTAGTACAAAGCTTACACAGACTCCTACAAGATGATAATACAACTCCTGAGGTTAAATATAATTCTATGAGTCTTTTGTGCAGTCTTCTTAATTCAGGTAACTTAATTTTAAGTAGTCTGTGATGAAAGGATGGATATTTGTGATGAAAACATGCATTTTATGTCGCTGAAATGTACCACTTGTGATGTTGCAGTCAGTGAACAGTAAAGATTAGAGAGGTTCATTCTTTACTTATCAGTAAAAATCCCACTCATGTTTTTTCTTCAGAAAAAGTAGATTAAACCATTAGCTATGTAAATTTAAAAAAAAAAATCTTTATTTCCAGTGACAGTCAGTGGCATAATCACGTCCTGAAAAGCAAAATAAGAGCCTTAAAATATAGGCATCTTTGTCCAAAATCACCACAACCACATACAAATGTCTGGCAGTCCCAGGCTTTGCCTACACCATAGCATTTTTGTGTTCAAAGAAATAAGCTGTCTGCATCATCTTACACAAGCAAGCACACATTTGTCCTGCCTATGCTGTAGGCAAACCAGAGCTGAGATAAAACAGTATCTTTAGCAGTGCTGGATTAAATGCATAGCAACTTTTAATAAAATGTCTGAAGGATCTGTTTTCAGTTTCTCTCTCTCTGTGGTTAGGGAAGATTTAAAATTTTTCCTGAAAGATCAGACTGCTCCTGTAAGCATGGTGTGGCCTCACGCCACAACTCACCGTGTCTTTATACATAAACCATGGTTACCAAAAGCAATGACTGCGCTTAGGCAAAGACAAGAGAGCTGTTTTTCAAATCCTGGAGCTGCCCTTTATTGGCAGGCAAGCTGGATTTTGCAATGCACTCCACTTCTTCCCCTTGTAGTCACAGGTATCTCACAGGACTAAGCACTTACTTACATCCTTCAGTGAAACTGTGCAGTATTCACACAACAAACCCGATTTGTACGACTTTTGCCAGAGGTGTATTTCATGAAAGGCTAAGAAGGCACACAGGCAAAAAAGCTGGAGCACACAGCCTATATTGTATTTTCAAAGTACTTTTCTTTTGTTCAATCAGTTCTTGGAAGACAAATGGAGAAGAAAAAAGTCTTAACCTGTTCAACATTTTCAAAGGTTTAAAGAATACCTATTGAGAGAAACACATTTAAGTAATATTAGGGAAAAATTCGTACAGTGAGGGTGGCCAAATGCTGGAACAGGCTGCCCACAGAGATGGTTGATGCCCAAGTCTGTCAGTGTTCAACAGGAGTTTGGATAAGGTCCTGAATAATATGCTTTAACTTTCAGTTAGCCCTCAAAAGGTTAGGCAGTTGGACTAGATGATCTTTAAAAATCCCTTCCAACTGAAGTAGTCTACTGTAAAGCAGCTCATTTTACACAGTGAATGCTCCAAATCTGTATGTTGCAACAATTGTCAGGAACCATTATGACATGGTATGTCACTAAAACTCAGCATTTAATTTCCCATTCAGGTGATCTGAGACAAGAAATAGAAGAGGACAAGATTAAAGAAACCCTTGAACAACTCTGCAGTCACAGCAACGCAAATGTGGTCAAGGAAGCTGCTGCAACGTTACAGGTTTTGAAAGGAGAGCCACCCCACTAGCCTCCCTTCCAACCCAGAGCAACCTGTGCTGCTGCTGAGGCAAATGCAATAAAATGCCAGCTTGGCCAACGCTACCTTGCATTTGTCATGCTGCTGCACAACCAATGCTATTAAAGCCCAGGTACAGCTCCTGCTTTTAAAACTACGCGTACAAAAATTTGGCCTACAGATACCTGTATCACTGCTGCTCTTTACTGAGCTACTAACACTGCAGTAGGAATAAATCCTGTCAAACAAGTGGTCTTAGAAAACATTACCTGAGAGACAAAAGGTAATTACCATCTCTAATACATATAAGCTGCTTGGTTTTGTCAAATCAGGGAATCAATTGAAACTTTAATTTTTTAAAGTCAATAGGACTTTAAAATCGCTGTAAAAAACTAAAGCTTGTATCATGCAACCCAAAACAACAGGGCTTTCGATTAGATGTGAGCTGTTGATTAAATAATGCAAAAGGCTAATTGGACCATTTCAACTCCTGCGCACTGTGAATCAATCTGTGTACCCAGCTGTTAACTGGAAATTTCAGAACTCCCCATAAGGCTGTACCACCTTTCCTTCCCCTTCCACATCTTAATTATGCTTTTAAAGCTCATCACAGAATTTACACCTGCTAATATCACAATCTATTACTAAGCATCTGAGGTCTCATCCCACATTCAGAGTTGCAGCTTTTGTAACTGGGCATGATTTGCTGTAAAATTAATGTTTGCAGTAAATTGCAGTTAATGTCCAGACAGTACTTGGACAAGATACAAATTAAAGCTAGAAGTTAGAAGTGACAAGTGAGCACATACGAAGATTCAAAGCTGGCCAGCATGTCATTAAGCCATCTCCAGTAAGAGAACCTAGGCTTAACTACAAATAATAGTAAATCATAGTAAAACAAATGTCTCTGAACATTTCTATAAGAATTGTTCAAGTTTGAAAAGTCAACTGATTAAAAAAATAGTAAGACCAGGATCTACTCCACAGCTTGTCCTTACAGGAACTTCATGAAATAGTTGTAGTAGGTTGCAGTGTCACATCGCCAAGATCCAGGTGACTGAATTCATCAACAGGGTAGTGGTGGAAACTGAAAAGCTAGGGAACAATGACTTTTTTAATCCAGCAGTAACACATTGTCTGTGAAAAAAATGTTACAACTTTTGTTCCTGTAAAAGCTTTCACACTTGGAAAACTCACTACTACTATTTAGTCCATTATATTAGTAACTGATCCACGCCACCAGATTCCAATTCCAGGAGTACTGAAAAAGGGAACTTCACAAAACCATCCTAGACAAGTCACCTGGTAACAAGCAAGTTTTTGATTACATAGTGAGAATAGAAAAACTAGAGCTGAACTATGTCTAGTTTCATCTAACTTAAAGTATACAGCAATATGGGCATCCTGCATCTCTCCAGTGTCAAAATAAAACAGCTTCATCCAATCTCAATTTGAGAATAAGATATGTGCTTGTGCCTAAACCAGCTATTAGGATGAAATATATCAGGGTTATTACAAACATATATACACACACACACACCCTCAAAATAGCTGCATCTGAGTTGTCATATTTATTAAAAATGATCCAGCCTTAACATTCTATCTATTGTATATATTATTTTAAAATAATATATCCATTATCTACTGCCTAAATATTCAAAGCATTTTTTTTTAAATGCAGTAAGGAAGAAATGTTAAAATTGTCAAAGAAACAGCTACAAACTGATTTATGTAAGCCTCATGTTCAAACCTGTTACTTCCCTCTTCTGTACTCAGTAATGTCAGAATCATTGCTCAGACATGATAAACCAGATTGTAAATCACGGGAGTGATAATTGGGCAACAGCAGTCACAATGCAAACAGTTTCAACTTTTTGGATATCCTTAGACAGCATCAATATTTCTCTTCATAGTGGCTTTCACATTACACTTTTTTTGGCTTTCACATTACACATTTTTGTGGCTTTCCATTAACAATTCTGAGAAAAGCACCTTTCTCTTATCTGTTATTCATCAGCCAAAACTAAAAAATCAAGAATTAGGTAGGTTCAGAAAGAAAACACACAAGTATTAGCAGACCTTTACCATTTCCGTAGTTATCCACAAACTGCAGTCTCAGCCAGCCTAAACCTCAGAGAAGGAAACACTAGTAACTGGAAACAACAAGTCTTAGAACACAAACTCCACCAGTAAAAAACATTCATTTTATTTAATCAAATAAGGCTTGAGAAGAAACATATACTGAAAGTCACTCAGAAAAGCTGTATCAGAAGAGCCAGAACCTCCCCTTCCACTGGCTAAACAACATTCAAGCTGCATGATAATCCACAGGCAGTAAGGGAAGGAAAAGGAAAGGATGGAATGGGGAGACAAAAAACAAGGCAATGCTAACTATAAACCAATTGTTGCATCAACCTCAACTTACTTGAGGTATAAATCTATCCACATGGCACTGTACAAGGGTCACTAGAACTAAAGACCCCCAAGAAACATTCAGACTTCCAGGAGGCAACTGAAGTTCCTTTGGTCACTCATATTCATCCTCCTCCTCATGTACAGGCAAGCTGTGTCCAAATGCAGATGTAACAGAAACAAAAGAGCATATGCACAGTCAAAACATACTGAGAAATAAATACATTGCTTCACAGAAATAAATTGTGCTCATTTCTGAGAAATAAATGATCACACTGATTGAAAGGATTCCTTCTCAGTCCAGTTAATCAAGCCTGATCTCGTATTTAATATCTTCATTACAAAACTTGTTTCCATTGTAGTGTTTGTGGAGATGTTCCAACTGCAACCAATGAAATCTCAACATCAATTTATCAAACCTCTCCTTGTGAAATTGTTGAATTGCTTCTTCAGGGCTTTAGAGCAGGCTCACACCCAACTACTTATTCTGACAAGACTTGTTTAAACCATAAGCAAAAGTTTTAGTCATGAAGTCACTGCAGGTCCACAGAGAAGGTGCTAAATATAACTTGAAGTAGAAAGCAGTAAGAAAGTATTCCCATTCCAAGTCTGAAATTACACTACCACTTGTACCACCATTGAGGGTGTGCTTCAAAGTGCCTAGGTGTAAACCAGCCTAGAGCCCCCGGGTTTTAAAAATGATACCAAATAAACATAGAGAAGTTTATCCACAGTGAAAAGAGGAATAAGTTCATGAATGTAAATGTCCTCAAATAGGTTGAACTTGCTCTCTTGAATTCTGTTCCAGATCACTGGAGTATTGATACAAAGCTGGTGTTAACATGGCCAAGGCCGATAAGAACAAGCTGTGGAAAAGACAACACTTTAATTAAATTTTGTTTTGCATACAAACGATACTTCAAAAAAGAAACCAAGTATATATTTGTCTTCAGGCAACTTGGCAAGAGCAGCAGACAGGGGAAGTCTGATCAGTGACACCGGCCCTTGGTGGCAGCTAATTTCAGTGCATCAACTCCACTGATGTCATTGAAGCCATGATGATTTTCACCAAGTGTTGAAATGACTTCCCAGAACTAGGAGCTTTGTGTCACCAAAATGGCAAAGCGAAATGTACTGCCTAGATGGAAGTTTCAATTGAACATTTCACAAACAGCAAGTTACATATAGGATGCATCTTTCTCCCATTTTACATATATCAGATTATTATACATAACAAAGTAAGCTGGTTGATGAGGTGTGGTAAAAGTTTCAAGCACCAGAGTTGAAAGCAAAGGTTACTGGACACTGCTTTGTTGCTTGCAAAGTTGCAGTAACAACAGCAAATTTTTGTCTGCTGCTAGTGGACTGGATTCAACAAACAGGTAGTACAGACATCAGATTCAATGCTCTACAGAAGAAATGTCTCTTGCTCTCCCCTTCAGCAATCTACTGCTATTTTTCCCTTGTTGCATATCGACCAAAGATTAAAAAAAAAAAATCACAGTGCACTTCTATAGATTTTACTTTCAGGTTTTTCAGATGAATAATAGCAGACTGTTCTCTGCTCTTCTAAGGAAGTCAGCCATCGTTAGACAAGCTTCCTTTTCCTGTTGTGTCTCAATCACTGGACAGAAAAAGAACTATGAAAGCTGCACTGAAATATACATGAAAAGTACAGCACTGTCTGTGAAGTGTTTCACAGACTAAGAGCTAGAAGAACATCTGGACAATCGATACAGACACAAAGATTCTTACTGTAGATCGGTTTTTGCCAGTGAAATGTTCATTAATACATGCATAATACATAAAAAAAGGACATGAGAGAGATTTAGAAGTTTGGCTTTCCATGAAGGCCATGTACTTTGGAAATACAAGTATTAAATCCTTCACACAGACTACATGTAGTAAAATATCATTAAAAAAATATATACTTCTCTAAAAATTTACACTCAGGCACTGTAAAAAAAGTCTGCTCTCCCTGAAAAAACGGGTGTCACTGGAAGCAGTAAACAATGTTTACTTGAAAACATGTTTCACATGGCCCGGAGTAAAACAGACAACTACAACTACTTCCAAGTTTTCAGTCACATACATCTGTCTTTTACAGATAAAAAATATACTATGTCAAGCATAGCAATACTTCTGCAGCCACTGCAGTCCTAATCCAAAGACTCTCAGAGAAAATTGGACTTTTTACTGAATTTCAGATCGACCCGCAGGAAGGAAGGGCAGGAAGAAGAGTTCGTTTTTCTTCTAGTAAAAGTAAAAAAAAAAAAAAAAAAAAAAAAAAAAAATTACTTCAGCAGTAGTTCAGTTTGATACAGTAAATTACTGTGAAGAAATGGTTCCAGTCAGCATACTGTGACTGGCATTTTAACCCTGTATGAGAACACAAACAGGACTGACAATTTCATAGCTTTATAGAAGACTTACAAAAAAAATCAAAAACTGATATTCCACTAAAACACATCTTTTCTTACTAAAAAAAAAAAAAAACTGGATTTCAGTAGTGATTAATGCTGAATTTGAATGCTTTTCATCAGTCTTCATTTTAGCAATTAAGACGGGAGAATCAGCAGAGCAGATGTGAAAGAAACTACAGGAAGGGTAAAAAAAACATCCAAAGCTAGCACAGAATGCTTGCTACTGACTGCATTTCAAGATCTGTGCAGGCAGTACTTTTCAAAGGTATTACTAATCAATAAAAGCTAGGTGTTTTGAAAGAGTTTTTTTTTTCTTTTTTATATAAATAAAGACTATTTACAATTTTTCAGACAGGAAGCAGCATTAGGGATTCACGCTCCCTTGCCTGAAGCAGAGATTTCTAACTTATAATGCTGTAGAGAGTTGGATTTTGCCCCTCTTGAGAAAACACTTGCATTTTTCATAACTGCTTGGGTTACTCAAACTCTGATGGTGAGCAGAAGTTTCTGCTCCTGAGACATCTGCATCACTCCCAGTCAAACAGAAATATCCCCTATTTCTGCACAACCGAGAATTAAAAAGCTAGAAGATTAGTGACTTTTTCTTCAGTTTCCAATGCCACGATGATTATGGTTGCTGGTATCTTGCCAAGCTGACCAGATGAATCTACTGTAGAGATTAAAAACATTTTCAAGGTTCTTAAAAGAGATCAGCAGGCCTTCGGAAGAGATTACAACATTAAGACTGATGACAGTTGGGAGTCAAAACAGAAAAGTCTTCACGGTAATTCTTCATGGAAGGAGTTCACAGCAGTTTCATTTCTCCTTGCTATGAGTCTAAAACCAGTTCAGCCAATGACTTGGGAAAGTCCCTTTTTTCCTCACCACAGATCAATTCTGGTGCAACTGAGTTGTCTCATTAGAAAAAAAGGTAGACCAGTGTGTTTGGAGATTCTTTTTTTGTATCAGCTTCTAACAAAAACCACGAGCAGGGTAAGATCCACATAAGGCCTTTAATACCAGGAGCATTTCACGGTCTGCGCATTTTTTTCCACCTTGGTGTCTGATTGAAAATAGTAAAATATACTTTTTGCAACACATTTGCTTTAGTATTCAGAAGGCATTACCTGCCTTTACAGCTTCAATATCAGAAATCAACGTCCTGGCTAGGAAAATCCCAAAAATCTAAAAAGAAACAAAAAACAAACCAGTTGTGAGATGAAACACTTGCAATGTAGAGTCTGCAAGAAGTCTCTAAAGATTAGTGTAGAATAGGAACCTGCATATTTGTTTCTATTTCTCTGCACTGAAGTCAATGCAACTCTTAAGAATAAAGATATACATTGATAAAGCATTTGCAAGCTCAGATACCATTTCATAGCCAGGATCATGTGTTGGAGCATAGCTATTACTACACAGTAGTAAAAACAGCAGAATCTAGCACAAAGTACAACTGATGAGAAAAAGATGTTTTCATGTGACACTTCAGGAACATGCAAAATAGTATCAGACTTCTAGATGTCCTAAAGATGGAATAAATCCATTTTGCCAAGTTTACTTATAGCATTCACACTTACATGCTGCTAAAATTACAAGTCTGAAGCATTTTAATTCATTCCATAACTTTGGTTAAGCCAAGTTACTATTTATTTATATATATATTTAAAATACTTAAGAATTTCACTTTCACAATTTCAAATTCCATGTCAGAAACAACAGTTAGAGAAGTCCCAGATCCTTCTGAGATACCTAACAACTTTGAAATTGTAACATTCACTCAAGTTCTCTGGGAAATTTTCCTTCACAAATTGAAAATAAATTCATAACTTGGTATACTTCCTAAAACATTATTAGGAAAAAAATACAATACTGTGAAGTTCTGGAAAAGCCAGAAGATTTGTTTTAGAAAGAGACCATGTGTCTCACTCCCAGTCCCACCATGAAAAAGCTTAATGCATAAGATAAAACTAAATTTGAAAATAATCCTGAAATACAAAAAGGGTGTCAGAGAGACTCAGGACACAAATAGGAACAACAATATCAAGTGACTCTCAATATGTCAAAAGTTTAGATTCTCTATCCTGAACCTCCTCTCCTCCTAACTGAATGTGTTTTTCTCAGGGCAGCATCTCTCTATGAAAGCACTGGAAGCACTACTGATAGATACTGATAAACTATCAAAAAAGCAACAGAGGGCAGTATTGCCATGGCTGGAAAAAGGTATTTTACCAGCACTACGTTCAACATAGTTTCAGTTAAATGGAAAAGATTTTGTAGCAGATTTACAACTCTTATTTCCCACTGAAATAAAGCAGTACCACGCAAAAGCAACTTAGGCGAGTATACACAACTGCCACAATGCAAGCAGGATCCACTTTGAAAGAATTTTCATTCGATATGTTTTACTGAGGATTTCAGTTCATTTTCTTTGACATACCAAGAATAGAAGAGGTACTGCAAGAAGTTTCAGCAACTCCATCTACTGCTGCTAATATCACATCTGCAACCTGTTCAACAGCTTCCCTTCTCTTCTACTCTTGAGATTTTTGTGCTGTATGCTACAGTATTCAGAATAGCATTCTTAGCATGAAAGATAGAATTGGATTTCAGTCTTTTGTATTTGCACTAGAAGACAGAAGTTAGGATCTACTGGAGTACATTACCAGAAGATCTCCTGTCCCTGATGATATATTAAAATGTGAGAGATGCATATAATTTTATATATAAAAATAATAGCATGTTGCCATGTTAATATATAATAAAATATCATTATAATGTTTCAGAATCTTGGAGATCTCTTCCAACCTAAATGATTCTGTGATAATATAAAAATATGATATATTTACAATACAGTACAGTGGCCTTCATTTCTTTGAGAAGTAATTTTGCCTGAAGGAAATAATTGATTTCGAAATTTTACATTAAGGCCCCACCACTATAAAATTCCCCCCCCCCCCTTTTTTTTTTTGCAATATTGTTATCATACCTAAAAACATCCACAATGTTTTTATTAAATATTTACTGCATCCCACCGTAATTACTTTTACCCTCAGTGGGTAACTTGAAACTTAAGGGAAAAAAACAGTAAGAAAACTAACCTGCAGCAGTGAGATAGCTATGAAGACTCCTGCAACAATGTAGATATTTCGTGGCAACCAAGCTTCCAGAGCAAGAATACAGCCTTTTATGAAAATCTGATCATCCCATTGACTCTTGCTCTGAAAGAGAAGAAGAATTCAAGAACATCACTTTTCTGCTCAAATTTATTATAACAACTCTCAGTCACATGAAGGGATATAGTAAAACTTACGATTGGTTATTTATACAGTAATGTTTTTAACCAGATTCCAGAAATACATGAAATACAGAAATACATACGCCCAAATTAATTTAAGGGATGTCAGGACATTCATATTAGTAACTTCCTGAAAATCCTACTATTAGAATACTTTGGAATTAGTAGAGAACACAATTCAGAATTAGAACTAATACCTGAGACATTTGAAATGCAGGTCTTACCCCTTTTTTGAAGAAGACTTTTTATTTTTTCCACCTTTCCACAGTACAAAACAAAATCTCTACCACACTCTACTTGTAGCAGGATGTAGCACAGCTCACATAAGCATAAGCTCACAGAATTCTGAACTGACATATATCAGTGATTCCACAGTTTTCATTATTTTGTCCATGCAGACACAGAACAGTAAAACAGCAAGACTCCAGCACCTTACCTTCTTTCTGACATCATAGCCACACTGTGTATTCACAACTTTTTGCTGCAAAATAAAGATTAAAAATATCAGTGGAATTATACCTTCTTCTTGTCACATCAATTTGCTGTCTTTTAAATTCACAAAAGAATCGGAACTGTCAAAACCAGCCATTTAAAAAAGCATTTTAGTAAATATATATATATATATATATATATATATATATATATATATATATATAAAATAGCAACGACAAAAAAGCATTAGCAGAACACCAGGGAAGTATAACAGCAAAGTATATATTAGCAGAAAACATCCTCTGCAAAAAATCCCAGCTTCTCCTGTTTCTTGGCTTTCATCCAGCAGCGACTATTCAAAACAAAGCATTAACAACTATACTGACAGCCTTCAGATAAGACATCTGCATTTCCAAGATCAAATTCATTTTATCTATTTCACGTAATGCCTAAACATTGAGATAAGAATAAAGGTATTACACTGATTTATTTACACCTGCAGTGGAGGAATGTGTCTTACAACTCCTTCATTTCACAGTGCTATCCTGATCAGTCAATACAAGTAACAGATAGCTGCAAGCTACTTGACCTCCCTTACGGTTGATAAATCAAAGTCTCACATAACCCAGCTCCAAGACAAAACTACTGAAGATAACAAAACGTTCCTTTTGTAAATTTCAAACAGAAACACAATAAACACCTTCCAGATCCCAACCACATACAACCTAGCAGCATTAAGCTCATAAAATGCAAATACATTCCTTTTAAGACATTTTTGTTTCTCCTTTGTATTAGAGTTATGAAAATCTATTTACTACACAATTATAGAATATTTTGTATTACACATAGTGAGTTCTATTAAAATGCTAGCAGTAGAATCTCAGATTTAAAAGATTTGAAGACACCTACATCTCCTTAAATACAGCACCACCAACAGAAAAATGGCAGTGAAATAGCACTGCTCTGAATTACATTAAAAAAATTACTGGGGAATTGGAATTTGGAATATATTCCAAACAAAATTTTTCCTTGGATTATTTCCAAGGAAATCAAAAGCCTTAGCATAACCTACCAATAGTTATCTGCTGCATGAGGATTGCTGGATCGACCTTCTGAGCTACAAATGCTACAAGGCATTTTTCATCTATTACATCCATACAAAGCATTTTGCATCCATTAGCACATACCGCCCTATTTTTTGCTTCTACTGCAAGGGTCAGGTTCCCAGAGTTTAATAAGCCAATCCAACCAATGAGTACCTGAATCTTGCCAAAACCAAAGAATTGACTCAAACATTTTAAACTGAGTTTGTGCATCAGCACTTCAGTAATTGCTGATAACTAAAGTCATGAGCAAATGGAGTTACTCCTACTTGTCTGGCAAAGGGGTGCTGTACAGTAATTCTAACCAGGGCAAGCGTACTGCTTAGGCCATAGATAACACGCTTAAGAATTCAAGGCATGGGGAATAAAACAGTATCAACAGCCAATGATTGCAGATTTAAGCCATACAAAAATAGCTTCTGAATTCCTGGTGACAGACAATACATTTTCAGTTGTGTAATGGGTTACCACACTTAGACTCTAAAAATGATGGAAGAGAAACAAAGAAATTTGGCTATCAAGATAGTAATTTTTGATCATTTAGAAGTCCTCTTAAAGCCCCAGGCACACACTATATTCAGGAAGCACTTCCTTTCATAACTCTTCAACAGCAGCAATAAAAAGCTGTTGTATATACAAACATATACAAATACAAAGCCAGGAAAACAACTTACAGCAGGATCAGGTATACAACAGGAAAATGGAACACCACACTTCTCACGACTTTTGCTTTCACTGCTGCAATTAAAGTATATGTTGAAGTCCCAGTCATCTGGACCTTGGGCACCGCAGCAGTGGTTCTGCAACAGATAACCAAATACTTAACACTTGGGGACATTTTATAGACAATTTATCCACTGAACAGCTCTCTGGAATGATATTTGGTCATCATCACCTCTTTCCCAAGGCTGCAAGGAATCAATAGCAACACCAGAGTAAAAAAAAAAAAAAAATATATATATATATATATATATATATATATATCAATACTGTGGCTCTATGAAATCAAAGAAATGCATTTGGCATAATGCTCTTGGAAATACATGTCAACGCAATGAGAAATTATCATAAAAATTGTCACTTTAAAAGTAATTACCCAATGCAAATCTGTGTACATCCATAAACAGTGCAACAAAATAAGTTACATGGATGCCTTGTTCTCACTACTTCCACATCAACCAAAACTGAAAGTTATAGAAAAGTTTCTCTAAATATGTGATTTGACCCTTAAATCTTCATAAATCAACAAATTTTCTCCTTCTTGTTTACTCTGAAAGAGATCAAAATATTCATGAATACTTGCTTTCCTTTAAATAAGATTTTCATACCCAAATTAACCAACACGTTGTTAGTTCAAAGGTCGGTCAGCTCTAGAATTGTTTCATACAAGTTTCTTAACCTAAAGAGTGTATTGTAATTACCATAATTACAGGTTAGGGAATCCACATATTTCAAAGAATTTTTAATTCCTGAAACTGATGAAAGTTAGTTTCTCATTAAGTTACGCTTTGCAGTTTACCAGCCTGGTTACTTAAGGGTGTAAATCTTTTGCCATAATGTATACTTAATATGTTATATCAAACATTTTCCTGGTACCTCATGAAATTCCCTCCTTTCTTAGGACATCACTAGTATCTCTAACATCTCTTCTCTGCCCACTGCTCATCATCACATAACCTGTATTGACCTTTCTGTGAGACTGCCAAAACTTGAGTGAGTCAGTACATGGATTCAGAAGTTACCAAGTGGTGACAGACACAGATGTGAACGGAGCAGAACTGTGTGCACCTACTTTTCAAAGGAAATATGACAAAAAGGAGTTGAACAGAATAGTCAGAATTGAAAAAACGATGCTAGGTCACATGTGTTTATAGTGAAGATGAAGATAAAGAACGGGTTAATTTTTATCTTTCTAGTCCCTCCTCCCTTACTCATCTCCACCACTAAAAGGCCATGTAAGCACTACACATGCTGATCTACCTTAGTAAGACAGAGGCTATGAGGACACTTACAGGCCTGAAAGTAAGGTAATTAGCCAGAGTAAGGAGCAGCCTACAGAAAGCTCTATGGGTTCCAACATACCCATGAAACTCCCTAGAAAATTGATTTCACTGGGGCACTTAAATATACTGGTGCACTTTATCATTCAGCCCTTGCAGAGCTACACTTACTGATCAGTGCTGCATACCTTTTCCTCAGTACTTTCAGGTACAAATCAATGACAGGCTGATTCAGAGATTCTGATCTTTGTTTTTTCAGGTTTCTTTGATCATTAACAAGGCTAGTATACTCCCTTTAAAAAGTTCAGCCTTTTAGTTTAATTGAAAAGCACTTAACTGAAGTTCAAATGTAAATCAGCTTAGCACATTTCCCTGGGAGACTGCAATGAAACTAACTAGAAAAACAGAAAGAGTAACAACAGTGTAGACAAAATTGAGACAGTTACTGGTGTTTAAAGTGGCCAGGATCACCTCTGGTGCCCTTGGCCTTAAAGCAAACAGCACTGAAAGCCATCCAGGCAGCTTAGTAAGAGGGTAATTTCATGTACAATATTAATGCACACGAGTGAATTAACAGGATAAATAAAGCTGCTGGCAATATACAACTGTTCAAACTGACATCTAGTCTAAAAACAGGATTTGCTATCAAACCAAGCTGTGAGCACATATTTAAACATGATCTTCTATAAAAAAAAGAAAAAGGACAAAAACAACCTTTTTAAAAGGGAAAAAATATATATATAATAATCAACCTTTTTACCTTTTTATAAAGTACTCACATACGTATTTTGTTTCTGTCCACATATATAGATACAAATAAATAAATAAATAAATATAATCAGAAGAATTGCCCTCACTGGTTGTTTCTTGAGGAAGACAGCAAAAAGAATCTAACTGACTGAAAGCCACCAGGCCCTTACCAGCACAGGCCTTGTTATCTCCTGGTATACATCGTCTTTTAGTAACTGTGTGTTTTAGGACCACAAGGGCATAAAACTGTTTCAATCTTCCTTGACTGCATGTACTAGCTTCTCCCAGTTCAGAAAAATCATCTTTTGCTTCAAGCTGAGGTGCTTCTCAGAAAACAAAAGACCCTCTTACTATATCCCTGAACAAGACTGCAGTGCCTCCTAAAACAAGAGCGCAGACAATCTAGTCCATAGTTCCACTGCACAACTTTTCCAGGATGAGCAGTTTTTGTTGCTCAGTTTTTACCTCACCTGGTGCAACACTGATCAGAACAGGGGAACAAAAGTCAAGGTCAAAAGGCAGGTGGATGCTTGGTAAGTTCCCACACATGCACTTAGAAGGGCACTGCATCTCAGCAGTCCTGCCTCTCTGATGCTTTCAATACAGAAACAGCAAAACTGCACTTCTGTCACATGGCACTACTGTCTACAGGGTTTTATAGATCTGTAGAAACTACTTGCAATGCTGTAGAACACAGAGAGGAAGACTGCCATATCTACATATTCTCTTAGAACATACAGGAAAAGTGACAGGATATGAACTTACTATCTTCTGTAGCGAATCAATGAGGTTCTGGAGGTCAATATCATCTCGGTAGGACTTAATGTTATTCTCAAAGAACTCCTTGACTCTGTCCCTCACCCAGTCCTGGAACAAGACAGCCAGAACTGCTACTGCCAGCTCCAACAGAAATATAAACACAATTGTTCCACAGAACTGTGAAAGAAAAAAGTCACAAATTAGAGAATAACTCTTTTGAATACATCCCCATTCCAACTCCTCTGCTTCTTGGACAGTTCCCATTGTTATGTATTTTTTTTCCAGCTTAACTGTTTCTAAATCTAAAGCAAGAAAACCTCAATACAAAAACAAATGCTTAAGAGATTTCACAGTAGTCACTCAAGTTCCCAAGTTTTGTCCACTAAATATTTAGAAGAGATTAAGCTTTTAAGGGATTTTGTTCTCCCCAAGCCACAATATGATTTCGTTTCAGTAACTCCCAGCTATGTTCCAGCACATCATATTTTGTGATGCTATATATCCAATGTTAGATTCTAAAATACATACTATAAAAACATCACTGCTATAGCTGTATGAGAAAAGCAAGGAACATATTCCAGAAGCAGGGAGGAAATAATTAGGTTTAAACCTACACTGCTTTTAATACCATTCATTCATCACAGATGCTTGTCAGGGTGAACAAGATGCTTGTTCACCACATGTTGTCACAAACCAAATGCTCTAAATTAATTTTCATTTGTCCCCCAGGTTCTTCACCCATCATTTCCTACTTTCACATACGTAATAATTCCCTCATATAATGGTGATACTTACAAACTTCAGAAGGCAGATGTTTTCTCTCAGTGCTCCTACACAACCAGCAAATCCCAAAGTAAACATCACTATTCCCACCACTAAGACAAGCACCACTGGGTCCAGACCATGAAGACCAGTCACTTTTGTTAGATCAGACAACACACCCTGAAAGAGAAAAACACGGTAACAGAAAGATGACCACTACGTACATTTTTCATTTAACAATCCTTCTGAATTGCCACGATTTTTTACATGACTCCAAATGAACCGGTTGCAAATCCTTGAGCTTCCGAACAGTGACCCACTCAGACAAGTTTGGTCACAGAAGCATTATTGATACCAGTTTTCTTCACACCAGCAAAGGAAGTATTAACGCAAAGTGAAAGCTATTAATACTTTTAATAAGTACAGTCTAAACTTTTCAGATTACATTCTCCTAGGTCTATCTGCCAAACAAGCTTCCACAAGATGGTGCCAAAAGCTCAGTACTATCACTGAGTATTCACCTAGTTTCAAGGCAAAAGGACAAATGATTTATATTAATTTGAAATGTCTCAATCAGGAGAAGACCAAAGTCATTAAAAAAAAATCTTTCCAATCCTGATGTTTAGGTGGCAGAAAGGGAGAGAGAGAACACTAACCACAAAGAAGGATATGGATGATGTGAGGAAGAGAAATAGGATTTTGATTTAGTTTTCACATGAAACAGATTTCTTCTTCTCACCATTTTAGTTAATACTGAGAAGTCTTTCAAGTGCTTCTCCAAAGCCTTCCCCCCCAGAAAAACAGAAATATAGTTTAAGCATTCCTTTCTCACCACAAATAAAATCCTCACAACAACAGAAGTTGCCCTTTTCCAACAGGACACTTGCAATATACCTAATTTAACAGCAATGTTTTATTTTTTCTTAACTATCTGGAAATGCCTCTTATCTGTATAGCAATCTTACCTATTAAGCCTGTCCACCCAGATATTGGGACAGAATTTCTGAGTCTATGTAAATGTAATGCTAATACAATGAAGTAGTCACCTTCCCAAAATTAATTTATGTACAAGCTACTGTTACAATCCCATCAAATACATATAACACAAGACTTTCAGGTAACGTGCAAGAATAGCGTGCAAATCCCCAAAAAAACAGAAGGGACAAACAGCTGAAACTGCTGAAGTTAACAAGAATAATCCATAGCAACATCCAAGCAGCCCTGATGTGGTCTTACTGCTCCTCTCAGACCCAGCAACAGACTGATCATTTCAAGGAGGAAATACCTTCCCTTGAAAACGGAAAAATTATGAAAACCGACATAACAAAAGATGCCATTACGTGTTTACTGTTTGTTTTTTAAAGTATATTCTCAAGGTAATTGCATTTGATACAAGATAATAGTATCAAATAAGCTCCTTAAGGTTTACAACTTATATAAGCAGTCCAATTCTGTCAAGAGAATGTACATTCTTATTTTGCTACTCAGGTATTTGTGCTAGAGTTAAGCGCAAAGAATATTCAACCTAAGAAAAGAATATTCAACCAAAGAATATTCAACCCAAGAAAATACCTTGGAAAAATTCATATCACTTTACAATTACATGTTTACCTAACAAAAATACTGTATTGGAAATAAAACCTTAAGATAAAACGTTCACATGGAGAAAAACTTCAGCTGATGAAAAGACACTGGTTAGCAGTACTCTAGTGACATGCAGGAGTTTGTCTTCTTTCATAGTGTGGTTTACAACAGATCTTATTAGAGCTGTTAATTTAGTGATAGCAAGACAATAGGGGCCTGGTGTTTGCGTTTTGCTTTGCTTTTTGTTCGTTTTTAAATCAAAACTGAATGAAGGAACAAAAAAAAAGTAATTAAACAGTGGAATTCAGAAATGCCTTGCCACAGGCTGGCGACTGAGTTGAAATATCCTATTAAGAATTGGTCATGGTTTATAAATTTCCCAACATTCAAAAAGTCCTGGGAAGCAAAAGCATTTCTAGTCAGCGTCATCAGTGGCGTTGTCATCCTTACAAATGGAGACCTCAAAGCTAGCTATCACACTTAGTCTAGTGGGTAAATCAGAGTGCCATCTAATCAAACTCTGGCCTCAAAAACCCTCATCTCAGATGCTGCAAACAGGGAAGATACCAAGACGAATTCAGTGCACATGCTATGAAACAAGCTATGAAACTAGTCACGTGAACATGAATAGGATGCTGAAAATTTCACAGCCATTTCCAGCTATCTCCTTCCCACACCCAAACTCAAGCTTTTCTCAGACAATCTCACTTGTTCAAGCAACATCTTTTGTAGGAGAACTTCCTCTGATCAAAGGATGTTATGAAGAAAAGGAGGCAGGAACTGGGCTCTATTATTCACCCTCAGACATTGGTTCACAAGTCCTCGTATTCATATTTGATGTTTACAACAGTCTCTTTTCAAAAGAGTGGGGAGGGCATAGGGGTGCTAACAAAAGATGTTAAGTAAAAAATCCCAAAGGAAGGAAGTCAACAAGAAAATTAATTCAAGAATTTTTAGTTCAAGGATTTTCCAAAAATAATTTTTTTCAAAAATTCAAAGACACTATCTTATCTCACTCAGGTCTCCAAGGACGTTTCTGCCTGTGCCATCTGACTTTCCCCTCTCTCCACACCAACAATCAGGATTTCAAGATATCACTGATATTAAGACAGGCCAAAGAACTGAACTTGTGGAATTATTTACTTTCAAGGAAAAAGTAAATTATTTCAATAAGCAGTAAATCAGCCTCCCCTTCTTCCCTGTCCACAAGGCTGTTATTCCTACCTTGATTTACTTGAAATAAAACATCAGAAGTAGAGCTGAATTGCTTTTTTCCAAAGAAATTCCAGGGCTGAGTTTTGTATATTAAACAATGGAAGTGACATCTGCTACTAGTGCAACAAGCAAGAGGTTGCAAAAACTGGTATTTATAAAGCCCTTTGCAGCACAGGCCACCCTTCCCAATAACATCTAGATTTCTTACAGGTTCTTTCCTCACGCAGTGCTGATTCTAAATGCGTGCAACTCAAAAAGGACAGGAAAATGAGGCGTACAGAAATAAAGTCCATTTAGTGAGGTCAGTATCAAGAAAATAAAGAAATAAAAGTCTTTAAATCTTCTTCTAAGTCATTTTTAACAGTGACTTAGGAGTTCAATTGTACGTGCTTTATTTTCCATTTCTTTTCATGTTTGTAAGCACTATACCTCCACCTCAATTGAAATACATCAGTAACAGAGGGCAAATACTAATTGCCTTGAAAAAACTTACAGCTACAGTCTTGAGGTACATTAGTACAGAAGTTACAAAAACATCCAACAAGGACAGTTGATTTTTCTTACACTTACATTAGTTGGACTTACATAGTTGGCTGAATATGAGCCAGCAGTGTGCTCAGGTGGCCAAGAAGGCCAACAGCGTCCTGGCTTGTGTCAGAAACAGTGTGACCAGCAGGGCTAGGGAGGTGATCGTCCCCCTGTACTCGGCTCTGGTGAGGCCGCACCTCGAGTACTGTGTTCAGTTCTGGGCCCCTCGCTACAAGGACATGGAGGTGCTTGAGCGGGTCCAGAGAAGGGCGACGAAGCTGGTGAGGGGCCTGGAGAACAAGTCCTATGAGGAGCGACTGAGGGAGCTGGGATTGGTCAGCCTGGAGAAAAGGAGGCTCAGGGGCAACCTTATCGCTCTTTATAAGTACATTAAAGGAGGCTGTAGCGAGGTGGGAGTTGGTCTGTTCTCCCACGTGCCTGGTGACAGGACGAGGGGGAATGGGCTAAAGTTGCACCAGGGGAGGTTTAGGTTGGATATTAGGAAGAACGTCTTTACTGAGAGGGTTGTGAGGCATTGGAATGGGCTGCTAAGCCTGCAGCGAGGGCCCAGCCGCTCAGGGCAGGGCTTGTGGCTGTCACCACCAGCTCTGGCCGCAGTCCCTGCTGCCTCCCAGCTCCCTTACCCAACCCCAGGGGTCTGCGGCTCCTGCCCCAGCTCCCTTGGCTACCAGCCAGCTCCCACCCAGCCCCACTGACCCCCTTCCCTCTCAACTCTTCCAGACCATGGTTTCAGCAATCTTACTCGCTTTGACATTCCTGGGCTTAATTCAGAGCCCACAGAAAGTCAGCGACAAACTGGATGAGGCTACAAATGCACGCATGCAGCAACGTGCAGAGTATCTGCAGACTCACATGATGCAGCTGTTGCTGGAAATCAAGCAGAGGGACCAGGAGCACAGCTGGGCGTGTGTGGGAACCCTGCTCCTGTCTGTGCTGCAGCACTGGCAGTTCTGGGTCCTGACGGGAGAGCTCGTCCTGTTCTTTGTGCTCCGTCGCATGCTCATGAAATCGTGCCGTGAGCTGCGCAGCAGAACCAAGAAAGGCATCTCCGGAAGGAAGGACGACAACAACTCTGAGGAAGACCCTGATGACATTCTGGATGCCCACAGATTTGTCAACAAGTACCTGCAGTGGCCAGTGAGGGACCTGGAAGGAATGGGCAAGGTCGTGGAGGAACTGGTGGACAACCTTCTCGTCGCCTGCCAGGGCCTCCCCAGCAACAAGTTCATGCCACGGCTGCAGCCACCCATTGGGGTGGGCAGCGCCTCCGGTCCCACTGAGCGTGACACCATCTACCGCCTGCTCGTGCCCCTGAACCCACCGCCCGGGCACGCCTTCCACCTGGAGCTGGGCACCGAAGGGGAGAGGAGAGGCTGGCCAGGAACTCCTGCCTCTGCGTGGAGCTGCAGTGCATGTGCACATAGGAGCGGATGCTAGGTGACGTGCTGTGTTTTCTCCACTGTCTTGAGCATGAGCTGAAGAATCAGGACCCGAACCTCCTGAACACCCTCTGCTGCAGCTCCTACTTGGATGCGTGGAAGACGGCACATCCGTGGTTCCAGGAGCTGGTGGCAGAAGCCTGGGAGGCCGTGCCTCAGTCAGCCCAGATGCAGCTAATGATGCTGCCCTCCACCCGCTTCTGAGAGTTCATGCTGACCAATGCCTCCAACGAAACCCTCTCAATCAAGCTGATGCTTGGGGCAAAGCAGGATGACTCAGACACCTACCTGACCTTCGAGTAGTCAGAGGCTGGCATTCGCAGCAGCACGAGGTGGCCCCAGAGCTGCGCTGTGCCAGAGATGCTCTTCTTCAGGAAACACCTTGGCATGCTCGGCACACCTTCCACCTCAGACATCTGCAGCTCTGTGTCTGTATCCTGGTAGGCACCAACTTCGCCACCCATGCCTCAACGACAGCTGTCACCCACCTCCTGACCTGACCACCATCCTCGTGGCAAGCACGCGCAGGAGGGATTTCACCAGCAATGATTTCGGTGGCTGCAAAGCTGAAGGAGTGACACCCTGCTTGCCACATGCCCCAGAGCTTAGCATGCTGCCCATGGAGAAGACGCTGCTCAGTTGGGAATTGCTCCTCCATGTCCTCTCCGCAGCAAAACGACCCCTGGGGGAGGCACACCCCATGCAGCTGAAGACTGCATGGAAGCTTGCAGGGAAGCTTGCAGCAGAGGGAAGCTTGAAGCAGAGACTGTCCTCTTTCCACCTGGACAGTGACCATCTGGGCTCCTGGGGAGCATCCACTCACTCCAGGAGCTCTGGTCTCTGCAAAAATTGTAATATATATTGTTTGTTTGAACAAACGCTTTGTCTGTCAGTGTCTGTTTCACACCGGGTCAGGAAATGCGAGTGTGAGGTGCTGACAGCTGGGCTGCCAAAGCCCCGGGGAGCATTTAGCCGAGGAGCTGATTCTGTGGGCTTCAACTGCGCTCCTTCTGAAGCTACAGCTCTGCTGCCTGTCCTGGCTCCTCCAGCAGGGCAAGGAGAATAGCTCAGCACCCTCCTCAGGGCCATGTGTTGCCAGTGTGCTGTATGGAGTCTGAAGGGGGGACTTGTGCAACGTGAGGCAAACCATGCCCTGGGAGCCAAACGGCTCCCATCACAGTCCAAACACTTCTTAAACTCCTGTCCCAGTGTGTGACCATCCTCTCAGTGAAGAACCTCTTCCTGATGTGGTTTAGCAGAGGACTTGTTAGTGTTAGGTCAGAGGTTGGACTCAATGATCTTGAGGTCTCTTCCAACCTAGACAATTCTGTGATTCTGTGACACTGATTGTCATCATAACACACTGTCACTGACTTACAGCACAAGCTATGAGCATACCTTTAAACAGTTTACATGTGTACAGATGCACAGAGATCAGCTAAAAAGACTAAAGAATAAGTAACCTATAACAATAGAATAAGTTGTGTTAGGCTCCCCTGTAGCAGGCGGGTCTTTTCCAAAAGCAGACATGGTATTTCAGTTGCAGTCCCCAGAGTAACAAGTGCTGTTGGAAGTCTCCTCCCTCAGCCACTGGCTGCACCAGTGCTAATACAGCCCAGCACACATGTGGTCTCCTTTGATATGAAGGCAGGCTGCTGACTGATACTCAACTTGATGAGCAGCCCAAGGTTTCTTCCTCACAGAACTGCCTTCCAGGCAGTGATCCCCCACCCAGCCTGTACTAATGCATGAGATAAATCCCATGTCTGGGGTGGAGTAAAAAAAAAAAAAAAATTAAAAGTGCAAAAATAAGCTTTCACAAAGTTCCCCTCAACTCATTTTTCCAGGCCCACAAAGTCCCTCTAAGCAACAGCTTTGCTTTCCAGCAGACTGCTCCCTCTCCCTTTGTTATCAGTCATGAATTTGCTGGAATGAAGTTAGGCTGACCCATCTCCAGTTTCCCAGATATTGCTTTGTGTCCTTCTTGAAATGGTTTTATTGAAAAAAACTTTTTCAGACATGATGGCTGTGTAATTTTGATTTTATTACTGGTTTATTGCAGTGACACTCATTTCCTCTTTTTGCAATACTTCTTGGACACTGTATGAACATTGATCCAGTTTTTATTGTATAGACTTAATTTTGTGCAGCAACTTTTACATGACTGTTTGGAATAGCAAAGCACATGTAAAGATCATAAGAATAGGCCAATTAGATCAAAAACTTAATTTACTGTATTAGACTCACAAGCAAACAGAATGCAAATCAGGGTGGGTGACTTATTTTTCTTAAGTAACTTTCAGCACTTGACACAAAACACCATGCTTCTTTTGATATATTATCAGCTCAGAGACATACATGGGACTTACGTCCAGAAAAAAAAAATCTGAATTGTAGTCATACTGGAAAAGATGACAAAAAATGAACAAAGCAGTTAAAGGGATCCAACGTACTTCATGCTGCACTAGGAGACAGGATGTTTAAAGTTCTCCCACCACCTTTAGTTTATCTTTGGGTTTACCACTGCAGCACAGCTTCTGGAATGTTTTTCTTTTACTTCCTATCTATTGTTCACTGAGACTTATCTGCAAACACACAGATCCACACAGGCACATACAAAGACTATGGCTTTGTGGCACTAATATGAAAGCGTCCACACAGAACAACTGGCATGAAAAATAACCTACTGATTGCATGAGCCATTCAGAAGTTTAAAACCACAGGAAAAGCTTCCAAGCAGTTATTTACAAAACAGAACAGACAACAAAAACATTTCAGGCAAAATTTAAGAAAAATCAGAGTCAACAATTTTACTGAAAGTAAAAGCATTACTAATGTTAACATACCATAGAGGACATGTGGCAAATGGAGCTAGTCATTTCTAACCGCAGATATCATATGCGTTTCTCCACAGAACAGTTTGTACAGAAGCAATTTTAGGAAAATGAGAATACAAACTGAAGACAAGTTTGACACCTTCCATAAAACACCTTCCATAAGGATTGGAAACAAAATCCCTTTATAAGGGAATAGGAGGTAAATGTATTTGTGCATGGAGTTAGCCTGCTTCCTATGTATCAGTGATATAGTTGTGAGGATCGTGCATACACACTGGGAGCGATGAGGAGAATAAATGCCTCAGCATTAAAATTATCGTAAAACTCAAGCTTCCAAGAAGCGGGGAAATCCCAGAACCTCACTGTATGTGGACAGTTTCCCTATACAAGTGCTCTATGGAAATGTTACACTACATTGGTAATGAGAGTGTATCTACTCAGCAGCACAACTCAGTGAGGGCAGCTGCCCTCTTCTGTTAATTAAAACGCAGATTAAGTCTTCCAGTCATTGTCACTTTTTCCCCTACTGCCTGCAGTCACAAAGCCATGCTTTTACATTTGTAACAATGGGGCGATCCATTCACTTCCACGCCTACACTGCCTCTTCTCTTGTGAGATGAGAGTTCAGCAGGTACATGCCTGCAGACTTCCTCTGACCGAGGAAGTTGTTAAGCTGAAAGAAACCTTACTAAAATAAGCATTACTTGGCTGGATCACGTTTCCCAATTTTGTTCCTCTGCATGGTCATACAATCACTTCTGCAACTCCACAGGGTATAAAGATAACAGATGGACTTAAGATGGAAATACTTCAGAACTATGGTCCCAGAGATGCATTTTAATTTTTATATACATTAAACTTTTATGTTCCTTTCAAACACTATTCATTCCTAATAAAAGGAGGTGAGGAGATGAGCGTATTTTAGAAAACATGTCCATAGAGAGAACCAGTCCAACACTATTCATGAAGATTATTCATAGAAGTCTAAAATCTTTAGTTCTCTTAAACCCTACTCTTAAAGCCTACAAAGAGGCCTAAAGATTGAAGGACACAGCTTAATACCCAATCATGGGCAAAAATGAAACTCCAACTAACTTCAGTTTAGATCATCTGAACATAGTCCTGAGCTCTGATGCTATATTTAATCCTCGCTGCTTCATGAGGAGAGAAATTGGTTTACTGGGGCAGGAGAGAGCAGCCACTAAAGAATGCAACAGACATTTCTACCCTTACCTTTTCACTCCATGCCCAAAGTCCAACTGCGAGGAACGCCACACCAGCTAGCTAAAGCAAAAAAAAAAAAAAAAGGAACATTAGATCTAATCAGTGAGAAAACACATTCTCAAACACTTAGCCAGTAGCACTATTGCTCAAGTAGAATAAACATTGTCTGCAATCCCAGATAATAGTAATGGGACATTCTTCCATGAGTTACTCCTAGAAAGAAAATCTAGAATGCTTTAATTCTATGAAAATCCTGCATTTACAAACTACTTTTTGACAGTATTTTACTTTGATTATTCATGATTATTTGAGAGGGATACATTAGATTCCAAAATATTTAATGCACTTCGAGGTCATTCTGTATTTAGTCACGTTATAGTACCACTCCTAGACAGCAGGCATGCTTAACTTTTCACAACTTCGGTGTCAATACTCAGATTAGACTCTTCCCTAATTACATACAATTTCTCATCTTTTGCCTTGTTTGAGCCCTTTTGACCATTCCTTCAGTTTAATTCAATTCACTTACTCGCAATAAGCAACAGATCTAATGCATAATATACAAACTCCACACCAATTCACATGCTTGCATAATAAATACTTCTGAATTATATTCACCCAAACTAAATGAGATCCTTGTCCTAATTTGTATTCCATTTCTTCATTCTCAGGCAGTTCGTTTTTAGTATCCAATTTCAGTAATCAAGCTAAAATGACCTCTACACACTCAGGGCCATCATCACCCTCCACCCAATCAATTACTTAAAATGGCATTCTGGCTTGAAACACCCATGTACCGAGTCCACTGTAACCATATGAACAACTGAGGTTGCTCCTACACACCAGCCAAGCCTACAGGAGCATGACAAGTAAATCCCTTTAACACACCCTAAAAAGGGGATCCTTTCTGCTAGGAAAGGCAGTGCCTCCCATGAACTGAATGTGCATTATAAGCAATTTCCTGTAGCACAAGCAAGAAATGGGACCCTCCTCCCCTCACACGACAAAATGTGTGTAGGTTTGAAGTGCTGCTGGGTTCACTGTCCACTGCCTCTAAACTGCATTCAGGGTAAATGAAGCTCCTCTGAGTGTACTCCATCAGGAAGTGGGGAAAAAGAAAGCCAGAAAGGCTACAAGTGTCATCATCCATGCCATTCTGTAAAAATTACTTAAATGATGTGAGACAGCTCTGTCTGTGCACGCAGCAAGCCATACGGTGGCGCTTAAGCATGCAGATGAACAAACCAAACCCACAACTGATACACAGGAAGAGTTACTACTAGGCAAAGCTAAGTGAGTAAAATTTCCAGATGTTGCTTAGTAAGTGTCCTCTTCAGACTTGCTGTCTTTCATTATAATTACCCTCCTAAATAAACTGGAATGGATTCTTATCAAGTACATTTTCACTAGCATGCTTCATTCTCATCTCAACAAACACTGCTCTCATTTCTTTTTATAGAGCATTCAGTTTCACAAAACACTATATTTGCAGAATTACTGCTGTGAGCACCCATGCAAACTAGCTGCAAGTAAAACTGAGTTTATCAGCAGAAATATAGGCTTGGTCTCATAGAATTAACACTGATAAATCTAAAACTCAGTCCAACTAAGACATAAGTGATTCAGAACTCTCATGGGAAGCAGCCAAAGTACAAAGAGTTCCTTCAGCAAACTTAGCAAAGAGCAGTCAAGTATAACATTTTGCTGGAGGAACAAAGACACCAGCTTCTATATTTATAGGTGAGATTACTTACTTGCAGATAGGTTGTCTTTGTAAAACAGTGGTTATTTACCCAAGCGAGATTTCTTTGCTTTAAGTGCCACGTGCAAGGTACTTAAAGTATCTCACTGAAAACTGATCTAAAGACCACGGCAATAAAAAAAAAAAGCACAATCGGGTATACTCAGAATGGAAATCTACAGAAAATTAGCTCGAGGAAGATATCCTCTCTGCTATTCTTGCACAAGGAGGCATTCAAGTGACTGCTGTGGGGCAGACAAGGGAACAGATCCAGCTTGAACTGAAAGAAGAGTTTTAACCTTCATCGGCTCACTGAGCTGGCCACAGGAATGGGAGATCAGGCAGCTGAGAAGCAGCAATGCTAACTGAAAGTGCTCCTGGGGGAGAGTAAGCAAGCCAGCTAGTTCAAAAGAGAAGCATGTAAAAGTTTGCCTTTCACTAGGATCTGAATAACTTTTAAGCAAGAAAAATGACTGGACTACCCAACTCACTTCTGTGTCATTGAGTCACTTATGAGATATGATGCATAAAAGGTTGGATGGAAACATACACAAAGCAACTCAACTGTACCCCTTTGAACAGGAAACTAAACTAGCAGCCAGTGCTTGATCATTTCCTGCTTTAGAACTGAAAAAATCCAGAGCATGAACACACCACACTGAGCTTTAATCTCTACTCACAAGAGGTAGGATACTGATGCCAGATCCCAAGCACCAGACAGACAACCACTTAGCTTAAACACTACCTGTTCCCAAGCACCCTTTGAATTCCTTCAACTATGCTATGAGGATCACCTACAAACAGAGAACTTAGCACCTGGTTTGTTTCTCCTATTGAGGTTGTAGCTGAACACAGCTCCTGCAGTAGGACCCTTGCACACAAACCATGTCAGCCTGTTTCAAGGTCCAGTTAGAAGTTATGGGAATGTATTCCCATTGAATTCAGTTTCAGCACACACAAAATGTTACTCTTAAGAAAAACACTCTCTCCAGCCCCTGGCAAATAGTATTTGACATCATAGCTCCACCCACACCGGACTAATCTGCAGCCTACAGCCCTTCCTTCCTTCCTATCCTTGTCTCTTTCCAGACTTTTCCTCTTGGGGTCAGGAAACAACCTGATGGTGGATTCTTGCCTCTTCCTGGCACAACCCTGCTGTTTTAGGTATTCATGAAATACAACATAAGCTGCAAAAGCCAAGAAACCCTAGTAGTAGCTTAGTTGTTCTATTACTTTCCAAAAATAAACTCTGGAAAATAATTTCAAGCTTAAGAGATTTTTTTTTGCCCATCATCTTCATGTTCAGCGCAAGGCCCCTACAAGTCTCCTATAGTACAAGTGAAAACTTTTAATTCTCCCCTACCCAAAGCCCTTACGAACCAGGAACAAAGCTACAGAGAATTAGAAGATAAAATCAAGATGACAGCAACCGAAACCTATTTCACTCTCTCCCCTCAATTCATTAGAGGGGCAATCAGTTTACACGCAGCCTAAAAGGCTTCAGAAGACAAAACCACATATAATCCTTCACTCAAATAGCCACATCCTGGCCAACATATAATTCTTGGGCTGCCCCAAAAAGCCTTCAACTGCAGACAGAAAAGCAACTAAGGCACTTCCTTTTACTCCAGAGGCCTTCTAAAGCAAAAGCCAAAGGCTCAGAGCAGTGCTGCACAGGGCAGGGCCCCACCCGCCCCGCTGACTCCTCTGGGCTCCCACAGCACAACTCAGGCTCCCTTTGCAGAATGACTCAGTGCGGCAAGGTGCCAGAGCCAGGCCCTTCCTCTCTCACAGCACTGCAATCTTTTAATTTCATTACACCAAATGAAGCTACTGAGCGGGAAGAAGGGGGGTGCCGAAAGCAGCTTTGAAGCTCAGCAGGAGGTCTGGCCTTGCTGCATGCCATAGGGTGGTTTCACCAAAACTTCTGAGCATCCACTGCAGGGCTGCAATCCTGCCTCAACACTGCTCAAAGGAGTGTATTTGGAGAAGTTTGATCTTATTAGCATGATTAAAAAGCAAGAAAACAAAGGAACTGCACATTAAACTCGTGTCCAAGACCAAGCCTCCCTGTGACCTCCACTCCCTTTCTTAGAAGGAAAAGCAAAGCACAAAGCACAGAGAAATGACTCTGGAAGCCAGTCAGACAACTCAAGACCATCAGAACTAAGGCTCTACTCTCAAGTTGTCCATGTGAAAAAGAAAACAACACACTTTCAAATACAGATTTCTAAAGGATGACAAAGCTGTGAGCTTGTCATTATTACAATACTGTAACAGAATCATATCTGCCTCTTTTAAGTTCGGTATTTTTCTACTCATCAAATGAAATGAATTTGAAACATGACAAACTGAAGAAAACCAATCACCGATGGAGAAGTCCATGTATTCTGTAAACTAAGACACCACATATTTTGAAGTTTACCAAGTTCACTTTTATTTTGAGCTACAGCAGGGAAGGCAACAACAGAAGTACTGCATCTTTAGTAAGCACAACAGAAAGACAAACACAGTTTATCTATATTTACATGCAGATTAGCTAGCATCATCTCTCTGAAAACAACTCAAATGGGCAAAAAGGCTGTCCACATAGCCAAGGTGTCATCTCTCATGCCCGTTAGTGGCCACCCTCATTCTGGGAAAAAAAAAGAAAAAACTCACATGGAACTGACAGGACTTAAAAATAACGTAGCCAAAGAAGAGCTGACTTTGGGATCAATTTCCAAATCCAACTCCAGTTTGTAGAAACAAACCATCTGTCAGAGGAAAAAGGCTGGACCACCTCTTCCAGCCCCAGCCTGAGGCACTGGATCCAGCAGGGCTCCTGGGCCCAGCTGTGCACCTGATCCAGTGCAGCTGTGCCGCATCCACAGCATGCAACTTTATCAGCCCACCTGCTGGAGCATTCACATTTCTCATTCCAGCAAGCAGATTTGAGCAGTTTACCCATGAGTGCCCATGCACCTGTCCTGCAAATCAAAAAATCTTGACCAGAAATAGCACTGCCTCCTTAAATGCTGATTTTAACGTAGTTACATTTCCCTTCTGATTTTTTTTTAGCCCACTCTTATTTTAAGGCGCATAGAAGCTTATTTACTTTGTTCTTCTACACAGCACTGATTTGTCCAATTAAATGCATTGCTAGACTCGCCATCTCAGCCAGCTTGATGTCATAGACTCTTGAACTACTGCATTGGCTAAGATTCATGCACTCGCTTATAAGAGCGCCTACCCTCCCACTCAATGTTTTTACATAGCCTGTTCTACAACTACAGCTGCCACACTTGCCAAAAGAGTTGTAGTTACACATAATTTACCAGGTCAGCCTGATGATAACTTTTCAGCAGAAGCTTTAGACCATTCACTGAGCAAACTACCAAAACTACTAACACCTGCAGAAGAACAATTCTTCCAGCAAGAACAAAATCATTGGAAACCCACAAACTGTATTTCAAGTTCTCAACATTTTTGCATCTCTTAAAAAGATTCTCTATGGACAGGAAAAATCCTTAGACTTTCATCATTAATTTCATGAGAATACAATCAATATTCAAAAACTTGAGAACTCCTCAGGAAATGAAAAAATGAATTCCTGCAAAAAAAAAAAAAAAAAAAAAGCAGAGACAAATGACTGATAGCATTCCCAATAAAGACAAAATAATTTTAGCTCTTTAAGGACTGTTTACCCAAACAGTACTTCATTATTTATTTGCTAGAAAGGAAGCAGTCTAGCACAATCTTAATACATACGGGGACAACAACAAAAAAAAAAATAATCTGTCCATTTCACACATCTCACTATCTGTATAAGAGCATCCCTTCAGTAACACAGTGATTTCTCTGAAAACCAGAACTTCAAAGAACACAGCCAAAGAAATACTATTTCTCATACAGCATTCTGCTACAGGTACATGGGAGTTGTACTATATACGATGAAAAATAAGTACAGAGCTGGTGGCATGAGGACTTACGTTATGACACAGGAAGCTATGATAAAAGTACTCAAATGATAGGGGAAAAAATATCGCTTATGTTCAAACATTTGTTCTACGGCAATACTGTGGACAAGCAACACCTCACACCTCTTCTGCCCTGTTAGCCACACAAGCCCCTAGGGCTTAATGCTCCAGTATCATGTTAAAACAGTGTACTAGTAAGCTAGTTGTGACAGTAGCAGCGTTCTGTGGTTTCCAACAGCACCCAGACATTTCAGTCTCAGAATTAACCTAGCCCTCTAACATTTTTATTAGGATGACTAAAGACAGCAGAAAATTCATGATTAAGAAGCTCACAAGATTCCTGGCTTTCCTCTTTGAGCAGTGATCCCCTACACTAAGGATCTTGCTTTGAAGAGAAGACTGAGTCAGATGATCTCCAGAAGATCCACTCAAACTAGACTTTTCTATGATTCTAAATTAACTCAGAGTTTTGCCCATCACATACGCATCTTTTAAAGAGGCTCACTCTTTATATACTACCAAAGCAGCCAAAATGCACAGAAATGCTAATCCAGTTTACCAGAACTTTGTGGGTTAATCAAGCAAACCACCGAGTCATTATTGACAAGTATGAACAAGATTCTGTTGTCTGTAGCTTACATTCAGACTTTTTCCTCTGAAGTTAATACAGATAGATTTAGTAGTAACTATCTAAATCTTTAACTTTAGAGGCTAGGAAGATGGGGTGGTTTGATGAACAGTGACAAAAAATCAGATTTATGTAGTCTGCTCTAGCACAAGTACTGATCTCAGACAAGTCAGGATGAAACGAAACAATTTTTACTCAACTTAAACAAGATGTTTCAACCACATACCATTCTTTGATTCCTACTGACCCTTCTTGCTTTGAAAAAAATAGAAGTATTTAGAGAAGACTATGCAGACTATACAAGCATTTCAGCTCTGAATGAAAACATTAACCCAAGCTACTAGCATTGGGCAAAGTCCCTGTATCTGCACTTCATCGTGACTACCTATGCCTTACCATGACTTAAGCTTCCATTACTTCAGGTGTGAGCTCCTAATACCTGACCGACACATTCTGAAAAGAATTAAAAGGTTCAATTGATCAGTACCTTTGGCCTCACGACCCCTCAGAGAATACTATTTCTAATGCAAGGCTATATACTGACCTTTGAACAGCTGCCTTTCCTAAGGTAGGTGCTTTGGTCATCTTGACCATCATACTCATCTAAATCCACACACCTGATTTTGCATTCTTTGAATTAACAGTAAACAAACATTAGAGGCAAGCTAGTCCCTAATCAAGTATTTAAAGATGGCATCAGACAGCCTTGCTATCCTGGAAGCATAACCTTCAAGATCCTGATTACATTCTAAAGCCCCAGAAATGTGTTAACAGCCGGCAACTCCTTCCTTCTCTTCTGCAAACTGTACTTATAGCTGCAACACTCCAACACAAAGATCAAAGAAGATCTGAAGAGATATATTTGAAGACACTTATATTAAAAAGGGAAGCAACCTAACATGCCACGTAAGTGCACTTAAGGTCAGATTTAACCTTTGCCCAAACACACAACCAGTATTTAGTGGCCTCCATCACCCAAAGGACAGAGGCCCTGTCAGCAACAACTGAGACTACTTTCTTTTGACAAATCCTTAAAGCAGATCTTTCCCTTCTGAATAAAAAAGACCATTATCTCTCCTTCACTCATTTATCTTCCATCTAATGGTAGGAGAGGAGGAAGACTGAGAAATTAGTATCCATATAATTTTCAGTAATAATTACTTTTGTACATGGGATAGGCTTCTGCAACTTCAGAACACCAGGGACATACACTATAAATCAGCTACCTGGTTTCAGTTAAAGATTTAGACACATCTTGAATGGAAGCACAGGAAATTAATTAAATTGAGGTACTCCCAAACTATTTGTTTCTACATTTTGTACTCACCCAGAAGATAATGTTGTAGCTGAAGAGCAGGTATTTGTACCAACAGCTGACCTCTGCATTAGAATATCGGTAATAGTGCATCTTCTATAACACAGCGCCTGCATAGAAGAGAAAAAAATTGAAAGAATCAGTCAAAGATTTTAAGAACAAGGAATTTTTTCCAGATCTTTCACTCTGTTAACAAAGGACTATTGTAACCTGTACCACATGTCACTCAGAAGTACGTTCGAAGTCAGCTCACAAACTTTTGCGTATCCCAAACTCCTTCTAAGTATTTATTGCTTAATAACTTTATCTTCTTTAAGTGCACTAACATGGTAACAGGGAGGGACACCCAAAAAGGAAACTGGCTATATAACTACCCTAAGATCCACATCAGCTTTCTCACTCCCTCAAAGCCGTTGTATTTACACAGACAGCTGCCTGGACTTTCGCAAGAAGTCTAAACACACCCTGTGGATTTTACATCCAACACCCCAGACCTAGCAATCTGTTCCAAGTGGTTACCTGGAACACTTCAGTGTCCATGGTGCTAAATGCAACAGGGAGTTGTACTCCTTTCCGTATTTTAATGTTTCTTTATCAAAAGAGTACACCACGAGAGGTTTTATTCTTAAGAAAAGCCACACCATCAGACAGCTGATCTGCTCTGCAGAGTTCTGTTTTCATGTTTCGTTATATGTGAGAGAGAGATAAGGTTCAATTGCAATTGTTGCTCAAACATTTCAGAGAACTAAATAAAGCTTTTTGTATTGTAGCTAACCCACTTCTGCAGAAATGCCATGGATAGAAAAACAGAGGACAAGCTCTTAAGATGAAAGCTGGAAAGACAAAGCACTCAGCCACCCAGCCAAGTTTCAGAGAACTGACCACACAACAAACGCTGCCTACAACTGACCCCATGCAGCAGCTCCAGATTTCAACCCTCCGTGCACTTGAGACAAATGTTTTCCTCCCATAAGACATTTAGGAAACACCTGCAACAGAAGCAAGCAGAGAGAATTTTCCAAACACCTCATCGCTAAGAAACAGACTTCAAGGACTATGCTGACCTGGGCATCTACAGACAGCATGCAAAAACTAAGCCTAGCCTGCAAAGTCTGAAAAAGTGCCATGGAATGGTTAGCTGCAGATCACCACTGCAGCCACAGTTATAGGAAGGCAAATACATCTCTTTTAGAAAGCAATCTGTAACTGGGTGTTAAAAAAAAAAAACACACACACACACACCAAAAGAGCAGGGAGAGAAACAAATACCCGTACATTCTTTATTGTAAGTACACTACTGATCATTTTCCAGGACAACCATGAATTACTACTATCAGTGTCATCTCGGAAAAACTTGTTTCTGAAGTCTCATGACAGGCATTTCAAATCTTGCCTTAAGCCTTTCCCCGAAGCTAAAGCCACACATACACAGATAGGACACATGACAGACATCTTCCGCCCAGGAAACTATGCACAAGGATCCCAGGTAGGCTTTGATTTTCCTTCCAGAGTTCTCCCTGTCCCTGGCTTGGCTTCCACCTGCAACCAAACCAAGTCCCTGCATGGTCCAGACACGTTCGCCTCCTTTTTATCACCATCCAGAAAGCTTCTTGGCAGCCTAACCATGAGATAGTTATCAGAAATGCAGAAACAGTGCAGAAAATCTAAAGAGAACATTTCAGTAAACACTCCATACTTTTACAAAGTTACAGGAAAAAATAACTGGAAAGTCAGGTGACCTCATACAGCAAGTAAGACTGAAAGATTTGCAGACAATTTCTGCTTTTTCCAACCCAAGACAACTGCATGTAGATAAATTTTCAGACCCCACTGAAAACTGGCAGGTGTTATACTAGTTACACTGATCCACTTGATTGGAAATTGATTAATTTATATATAATAAAGCCAGACATCACCTAAATAAACTTTAAGATGATACCTATGCAGGTTGTTTTAGACACATTATCCACAGGCAATTCTAGACAGCATCTTGAAAGACCCTTCAGCAACAAAATACTCTGCTCTCTCTTTCATAGAAAACTCCAAGTTTGAAACACTTTGGTTAAGGCACAAAACTTCTCTTGGTTGAAACGAATGTCACATGAATGCAGAAATATGCATGCTACCAGAAGAGCATTGCACTGGGCAGAGGAGCCCTTGTCCAGCACTCAGGATGACTGGCTGGCAACCTCACCAGAGAGAAGCAAGAGCTCAATTATCTTGAGGTGCAGGCTCTTTAACAGCAACATCCTCAAAAGCTTATCAGTTTGTTATTGTTAAGAAACACAAGCACAAATGCAGATGAAGAGAATTTCAGTATCACCATGTTTTTATATCATTATGTACTTGATGCAGCCTTTTAAATTGGAGCACTAGTGAAGAAAGCTTGCTTAAAAGCTACTATAAAAAGTTGAGAAACCTCCATATGAGATGGAATAAAACTGAGTTTAAATAAGAACTGAAACTTTTTGCCATGAACAGCTCTAATAAAGAGACAGTGTGCACAATGAACTACTAAGCTGTTTACAGAGAAATAGCAGAAAGATTAAAGGATGTATTGCACATTCTCACAGAAACAATACCTGCAAAATTTCTCATGCTAGGGTATGAATATTCACCGTTAGAACCTTAGCTCGTTATTTCAATAGTACAAAAGTTGAATCCCATTCAGTTTTAATCAAACACTGACAAGTTTTGTCATCCAAAAACTCATCCTATTACTAGTTTGTATGGTCACGGCTCATTTATAACAAGAACCCAACAACTACAGAGACACCAGCTAACACACACAACCTTTGTACTTCAATAATGGAAGTGCTACTTTATGGCACTACAGGCAATAACTGGAAATTACTTCTCTAAATGTAACCCAGTCACACGCATAAGCTTAGTTTTGCAACACACATTCTTAAGATATAGACAGTTCCATTTCCTCACACCCTACTTCAACTTCAGTTGCTGACATTTTCATCCCATCCAGCTTCACAGGCAGCATTTATGCATCTCACAATTACAAGACATTGCAAAGAAAGCCTGTTTGGACACAAGTTTCCTAGCGTGCTTTTCTAAGCGTGCTACTGAGAGAACACTAGAGAAGGAGCAACCAGTTGATTTTCCCAGCTTTGAATCCCTTAGACTAACTACATAGCTACATCTCTAGCTCTAAATGGCAACTCATATTTTAACAATCTAGGTTCATACACTTTAAGTAGTCAGCAAGTGTGATGGATCCAGGGAAAAGAGGAAGATGCTAGGACAAAGCAGCAGAACCTCACTGAGCTGTGTTCAAGTCTCCGTTTGCCCCAGCACACATCACACAGCAAAGTGTCTCACATCACTACATTCCTTAAAAATGGGGTTCAGTTACACAGACTAAGAGCCTGAAGGTGCAATCTGAAACAGAAAAGCAAGCATAGCAATTCAGGAACCAAAATACAAGCACAGTCTGGTCTTACTTTGTTAGATGCCCTCTTCAACACAGATTTGCATCCAATTATTCAAGTTCCAGCTGCAGAGAAACTCAGCACCAGGAGCGTCAGAAGTGTCCTTACTGATAAGCACCGTTGCCTGCTTAAGTCATCACTGACCAACAACTTGTAACACATCTCTCCGCATTTCCCCATACAACTGGGGAGGCGCCCCAGCCATACCCATCATAGGACTGTCACAGGATGAAAAAGGAAAGTGATTTTTTATTTGCTCTTTATTTTTCTTAATGCTCTGAAATGGCAGGGGTCCAGTACCACCAGCATGGCTTCTTTGTTGCAAGAAGCTGTCCTACAACAGCACATGGTTCCTGAGACAGATGTTTCCTCCTGAAATACCTATATTGAGAGCAGATTTGACTTACTGCATTTGTTTATCCACATCGGGAGCCTTTGGTTCTTCTTGACAGACCACCAAATGCTATATGGAGAAGTATGGTCCCTACTGATGTGGGACTGACATTCTGACATGTGACATCTGAAGTGTAGGTATGTTTGACTGTTTTTTTTCCCCAACCCTACAAATAAAGAGGCCAAACAACCCACTCAAAGCCACACAGCCACCTTTCCCATGTTTATACTAAAAACAGTCACGAGTCCTAGCGTAGGAAGGATCTGTTATCAGACAAAAATCTGCTACCTCTGTACTTCATGTACTTTGCATCACAGGCTGCATAACTATGGTTAGTGATGCTACAAAACATTGGGAAGCTTCAGGCAGCCTGTAGGCAGCACTGACTAGTCACTTTCTCTACTGCATTTCTGACAAAGTCACAGTGTCTCAGCTGGCAGTTATCACCCACTCATAGCAACAGGAATTTCTACAAATTAAATATAGAGCACAGCTGCTTTGGTAGAATATATAACTTTGTTTTCAGCTTTAACAAAGAAAAGAAGTTGTCGTTCATCAAGTGAATGCTGCCATTTCAAAAGCATCTCTACACCCACTCTTCCACTCTTACTTTCCAAATACTGTAGCAGTGATACAGTCTGTAGACTTTAACCCTTACAAAACAAAGCTGTGATGTATTAACCAATCTCCTGTGGATATGCAAGGAAATCCTCAAAGATAAGATACCAATGTAGAACAGGCACAAACTGGAACACTAATATGCATCTCTAAGCCTAGGTCCACAAACTCTTCTGAACCTCAGGAGGCATTATAGCTTTACCAAGCAGACCTAAGCCATGCTCATGTTCCAGTTAAAGCCAGCGCTGCCACCGCACCAATTCCTCCTTCCCTGCCCCATCGTGCAACCCACAGCCACTCCTCATCCTACTCAGCAGAAGGGGACCAGCAAGTCAACCCCGAAATTTTGTCAAACATGCTAAGAAAGCAGACTTGAGCCTCCCAACCCACCTCACCAGAGCCACACGGACACCAGCAGTGGAGGCAGTCAGGTGGCAGCACAAGGACAATGCTGGGAGGCCAGAAGCAGCACCAGCTCCCAAGTGTGCTCAAGGAAATTTGGTACCACTGCAGTGCTCTCTACACCAGTATCACAGACAACATGACACGAGGCTAACGCATGGAAATGGATGAAGCTGGGGGACACTGTACAGAAGTGAGGCATGAGGAAAAAAAAATAATTTTGCTGGTTGTTCCCTCCCCAGCCATCATCCAC